CCTGAACGCATATGCCAAGGGTCGACAAGAACCGGTACTTGACATATTCTCAACAATTCCGCAAGAAATGAACGTGGATCAAGCCACACTTCAGTCATTTAAGGCAGTGAAGAAGGATGATTGCCAATTGAACTAAAGAACACGCTGTATGGATTAAAACAAGCCAGAAGACTTTGGTCTGAATCGCTGCAAAAAAAGTAAATACTGCTAGAGTTCACAGTGTCTTAAGCACGTGTGCATATACTGTAAGCGAGATGATACACGGCTCATTGTAGTGGGTGTACACGTGGATGGCCTTCTATTAACGGCTAAAGCATCATCGCTGATCGACATGTATTTGCCGATTTAAATGATGCAAAAGTTATGGTCATTACCCATAAATTCCTAGGAATGCAAATTAATTACGATGATGAAATGGTAACGACATTGACTAGAGTGTGACAATGTGGACATTCATAAGGACTTGTGTCTGGAATGAATAATCGTGGATTGCGAACCCCCATAGATGATCCTACTTTTGAAGTTGTCGAAAATGATATCGTGCTCCCTGCTTGTGCTACCTAAGACGGTATCTCCGTGCGCAAATTTTAACCTTTAGTGGGTATTCTGCTACAGATGTCACATTGCACACGTCCCGATACCTCGTCCGCGGTACATCATGCGACGTAAAGTACATATTGCCTGACAGAAGGCGTTTAAGACTTGCTAAGACGATATCCTGATACCTCCAGGGGTATAAAGAGCTACTAATAAAAGGTCAAAATGATTTAAATACACCGCTCACTTTGGTGGGATATAAAGATGCAGACTTTGCTGCAAAAAGGGATGACCGTAAATCCGTCACTGGGGGATATGTTGATGAAGCGGACATACCGATTTGCATGCTTTCACACAAACAACGTGCTGTTTCTATCTCTTCCATATTAGCAGAGTTAAGAGTAAATTTCGCTATCAGCACCATCCTAGGTCGAAAGTCTCATTATCAGCACCAGTCCCAAAATCAACACTAGCCGATAACCAATTTAGTGTAAATGACACTACTTGGTGCTCGCAAACATAAGAACAATATCATGCTATAAGCGCCACAAGTTCAAATGCTTGATAAAGCAAGATTTATCAAGATCTCATACGAAAAGGTGGCGATTACTTTAGGCGGAAGTTATGAAGCCACTGGATTGGCTCATGGACAAAAAATGATTTCGGTCCAAGGTTGCTGCAACCAGGTTTTAGAATTACTGCTGTTTTGATCAGAACCGGCAGTGCATGGTTAAGAAAGTGGTGGCAACAGCAAGATGTATGTGTGCTCACAGGATCTATGCCTATGGGAGGTTTGTTTGACGAATAAGAAGCGGGTGGGTGCATCTCCAGTGCACAACATTTCCACCCTAAATGATATTTACCCCAGAAATGTGCCTGGCAATCGCCAAGCTATTTTCCGGCAATCCAACTGCTGCAGACATTTAGGGCCACCGTACAAGGTGACTAAGGCATCTAGCAAAAAATTGTTGTGTTTCTCGTCCAGGCTCGTGACGGCACTAATCTGCAGCTCTCTCGATGTAAAGTACACAGAGCCAAGGAAGACGTAATTGAAGAATTATATGGAGAGTGGAAATTATCTTTTTACTCCTTGCACAGAAACTGATTGAGTTAAGGCACGTTAAATCCAGGAAGCAGTGTTACACTCGAATTTGACCAACTAATCTCGTTTGTTCGCTTTTTTGTGGCTTTCGGAGCATCTGTGAGCATCCATCGATATAAGTTTCCGGTGGTAGGCTTTGATGGGACGCATTCGCGTCAAGTAATATACAATGGCTTTACATTCTCTTTATTTAAGCAAGATGGAATCGGTAAAAATGTCACCCTCGCCACCGCATTTGTGCACGTGGAGAATCAAGATAATTTCGCGTGGTTAATTCTAATTCACTGTATCGACGATAAGATTGACCTCGAAGAACTTTACAGTAATGTGTGACCGTGGCAAAATCCAGGGTGACATTACGTTACGCCGGACAACAATGCGTATCAGCATCCTAATTCGATTTTGTAAATTTCACATTCTGCGCAATGTTAAGCGAAACTTTAGATTGTCGGGGAATGAGGTAAGATGTTTTGTATGGAAAATTAAGTCACCAGAGACTCAAACTGACCACGTATCTCCAATCACGGCGCTGCGGAAGAAGATGAGAAATGATGTCGCCAAATATAGTAAAGACATTGAAACATTATATTCTGGACAGTGTTTGCAAATGTAACAATGCAAGTTGACAGTGCATGCACTGTCAACTCGCATTGTTACGAAGACATCCTTATACCCCCCATGAGACCATTTCCACTTATTGATTGACGCACTACCATCTTCGTGGAAGGCGATAACAATACTCTTCTTGTTAATGGCGTTCGTGATGCAGCACCTCTAGAGGCTGTCAAAATTCTTACGAAGGCGGATATGGAGGAATTCAGTTTACGTCAAGATTTAATTAAGATGTGGGTGCTTAAGTAGCTTACAATGACTCATCACGCATGAGCTCTTTGCAAGGTCGAGCAGGCTGCTGTCGGTGATTACGAAGTAAATCGGTCGTCTTATGGTTTACGGTTTGCCTCAAAACTGACCTTTACTCGATATCGGCGTGTCGAGGTTGAGTCAATGAAGTGCTCATGTTCCACCTGCACAAAAAAGGGTTGCCATGTCGCCACCTAATCGCTGTTCAATATGCTGCTGGGTTCACTAAAGATGTGACATCCGCTTTCCACCTGTCTTACCTTGTGGAAACCTATAAACAGGGCTATTTAGGGTTGAAGTGGTTGTATGCACAAGATCCCTTTCAGTATGTATCACCCCACAACCGTCTATAAGCAGGATGGGCGACGGCAGAAAAACCGTATTGCGAGTTCAGAGGATACAAAATCAGGATCCACCTACAAATGCTGAGCGTGTGATGAATGGGTGCACAACAGGATATCGTGTCGCCGCCACGCAAACCGAAACACTAACCAAATGAGGCGTTTAATGCACCGCCAATTGACTTGGAGTTGCGAATGATCCTTTAATGCCAAAGCCACTTGTTACGTCTCATTTTGAGATGCCCGGAACTTCTCGGTACGAGGCCCTCACACGAGACTTCATTTTCTTTATGCTGATTTAAAGAATAGATAGCGTCCAACCTGGATATTTCCAAACTTTTAATAGATAGGATGTTGCATTACTTTAAACGTTTGATTTTATAAATATTATGGCGAGAACGAGTTTCTGCATCGTGTAGACTGAAATCTTCTTACTCACTTTAATTGATTCAGGCTCATGCTCTTCAAGTTATTTAATACATTTACAATTCTTGTGATTTATTCCTTGAAGCATTAAATGGCTTCACATCTAAGTTAATACGATGCAGCAGGGGTATGCGCGACCCTGAAGAGTAAGAGTGAAACGATACTAAATACAATAAGCGAAACAGTAGATAAAATTGACGTGTGTATTACAAGCTAATTACGACAACGTGACTGAAGCTAACATAATGTTGTCCTTGTCCTTGTTATCAGCGCTATCGGTTGGTAACTGATGGCTGCTTTCGTCGACCGCGGAGAATTCGCGTGACTTAGCAGCTATAAGCACAATGCTTCGCAGCGATCAGTCGTACTGTGCTGTAAGCACACCGATCGTCCAGCACTACAGAAGAGATCATTAGACCATGACTTTGAGTACACTGTCACTTTTCATTTCACAAAAGAACCTAGATGACACACAATGCAAACCACAATAAATGTAGCACTAAATGTCCAGCGTGCAACCAATTAAGACTGCCACGTGCAGAAGCTCTTCTCCAATTGCTTTTGTCCAGTATCAGCATCACATGCTCAGCAAAATTGCTGTTTGGTGATTCGTTCCTTTCCATAGTTCACAAAATCCACAAAAGCTCACGTACGATTTCATTGATATCACTTTTGTACGTCCGCAACTTGGTCCGGAAACGGCATTGCGTGCTCGCTATTCGTTCCATCCTGATGGAAATCCTACAATGAAAATAAAAACAAAACAGTATACACACAATGTGTAATCCTAGCTTGAGACGATATTAACACGTTCTTGTAAAATATAATTTTTATATATACAAATATATATATACAAATATATTTGTATAATTACCTGAAGTGACTTGTTGGACGTCAAGGCCGTGACCACATTCCGCGCAACCAGTACAACAAAGACTAATTCAAAATGACGCGCGTCTGCGTCCTTGCATTCATATTTCATTAAGTACAGAGCAACAAATAACTTCCGTTAAATGGTAAGCTACCTAAACCACAACTCCTTATTATTACTGTGAGCTTCCTAAACCACAACTCCTTATTATAACTTCCGTTCATTGTTAGCTTCCTAAACCACAACTCCTTATTATTACTCCTTATTATTACTCCTTATTGTTTTTGACATCCGTTGTCGATCTGTCATCTTAATTAAGCCCTGCTTATTTCCGCAATCCAGCCGAGTGTGTTGCTCCTGCTTGAATGTATCAAGCGCACCATCCGACCGTATGGGACCTAAACAGCATAATAAACAGTTTCAGCATGAGCAAGTCTCCGGATCCAGCTTCTACATGGCATTTAAACTTTCGCGAGACCGTACATCGGGACAAAGCCTTACCTACTCTTATTACGTAAGACCCGACATCGCAAGTCTTGCAGCACACAGGTAGACTCTGCGTCAGTTCCTCACCAAACTATGCGCAAAAATCATGTAACATACCACACGTATTCCATTCGTCACGCATGTCTTGCTCACGCATCGCACGTCGCGTCGAATCACAAAGCACATTCGCCAACTACCTGGCACTTCTTTGAAAACGCGAAAGGCACGAGTTCACTTTCTAAAAGAAATTTAAGGTGTTCTACACTAATTGGTTATTGGCTAGTGCTAGATTTTGGGATGGGTGTTGATGATGAGACTTTTGACCTAGGATGGTGCCGATAGTAAGTTTACCCCAGAGTTGGTCGTGGCTGCAGAGATGATGATCGGCATCAAAGAATTGCCAGAAGAGATGGGGATCGATTGTGTGATGCCGATGTCACTAAAGGTCGACAATCGAGCAACTCGTAAACAAATTACCGGAGAATCTTCATCGAGGGCGAAGCACACTGATCTGATAATCAAATTTGTGGGCTTTTATGTCAAGCGGGGGATTCTCAAGACCGAGTATTGCGAAAGGTCCCGCGTGCCAGCTGACATGCTGGCAAAGGCACATTCATCACCAAGATTAGAGGAGCTAAAGAATTTATTTGTCTGCATCACAGTGGATATGGAGTGTCACGATTGGAACGTGTACATGGAAAACGAAAACATGCACGATGGTGGAGTGTTGGACATTAACATTAAATCGGTGCGTGTAAAGACTAAGAACATTTTTTTAGTGCGATGCGCGACATGTTTTCGACGTATTGAGGTGTAAGGGCATGCAAGTGCTCATGCTAGATCGATTGGTGAACTCGTTAGTCTATTTTTGATTACACTCCTCCTGTAACGGGGCACCCTGAAGCTTGTACTGGTAACAGTACAAGCTACTTATCCTGATAACAGAATAGGGCGGTGCCTCGGAACTTCACGTACACTCGTACGTGCAGAGGAAGACGGTAGAAGAAGCGAGTACTTGGTTAGAGTAAAAAGTAGAACTGTATTTATAATAATTAATGTCTGTAATAAATCACTATTTATCTTCATCTAACGATGTCTAAATACAAATGTGTAAATCAGTAATCTGCTCACCACTCATTGCGTGTGTCTGTCGTGGCGCGTCTTCGTTGGTTGATATAATGGCCTATATCAACCAATTAGGAACTACTCGTAAGTGCTGCAGTATATTTGTCCTTATGACAATATTCTGAGAATGTAACTCTTATAGTTATATTCTATTAACAATTTCTTATAAATTGTTATGTAACGATTCACCCCGTTACATCACCCCCCCTTAACCATCAGTCACTTTAGTGACTGATTGACTAAATGGATACTCGTTCCAAATCATTTGGGACAGGGTTTGCACTTGTTGGTCCGAGTCCACTTTCCAACAATGCATCGCATGGTTAACAAGCCCATGCGATGCGCGAGCAAGGCCGCCGAGAGCGCGTCCGCACGTCTCTGTGCGGACGCCGAAGCAGAAACTACAGCAACTGATGTCTCATCGGTTGCTGAAGCGACCCAGCCTGTGTCACTTGGTGATGCAGGCGCTGGTCATGAAGACACTCATGTCTTCACAGAGTATGAGCTCGGTGTCTCGTACTCTCCTGATACGGAAGACGGATCCGTATCGACGGCGATTGAATCCAAGCCGCCTGCCAAGCGTGGCATGGATGATGCTATGCGTCGTAGCATCTTTGGTTCATCTGATTCGTCAGATGAACCATCGCCGAAGCGAAGGCGCTCGAGGTCGCGAGACTCGGGCGCTAATAGTGGTGTCGGTTCTCCTATGGACACCACTTCACAGCGAGGTGCCAGTACTTCTGTCGGCACGTCGCAGGAAGAGCGGGACCGCAATGTGTTGCGTCTCGCTCCCGAGAAGAAGGCATGGATGCCTCCAAAATCCGTCATGGATCACTTGTCGGCGACGACGAGTGATCGTTATTGAGCACGGTTGTTCGATTCGTCAAGGATCCATCACCTTGACCCCAGCGCGAAAAACTATCGCGCTGAGAATGAATTCTTCATCGATGCTTTCTTTAGACACAGATGGTACAGTGGGAATCACAAACGTGATGGTCCCTCACTGCTTCAGGCGTGGAACGCCTACATCCATAACCTTGAGGATGTAGGTCGTGACGCTTGGAACGACAAACTTATCAAAGCTCGTAATAAGTTTGAAAAGCGAACCCCGACAGGTGCACGCTACAAGCTGCATCGTCTGTCAAGGGAGAAAGGATTACCCTGCCTCTCATGGGGAGAATCGTGCCCATGTTGTGTGAACAACTCTGCACGAGCACCTAAGGAGGCTTACCTCCTTACCAGCCCGTGGTGGCGCGTACGTATCTCTACTGAGATGTACGAAGGGATTGACAACTTGAAATCCTTTTACGACCGTGCCGGGAAGACTTTCTCCGGCGGTCCTTCTGCGGCACAGGATGTGCCGCGTCGTGCTGCTCAACCAGAACCAGTACGTCGATCATCAGTTGGGAGCGGGGCTCCCAAGAATCCCAGGACAGGGGATAGCCGAGCCACCGGACGAGATAACTCGTCCGACGTCCGTTCACGTCGCGGTGGTTCAACAGCCGCTCAACTAGATAGCGCTGGCCACCGCGAGAGTCCTCTAATGGAGGTGGAGGAGGAGGAAAGACGCTCTCCACACGATCATGGGGATCCGTGTGTTCCCGAGAGCTTCTTTGATCGCGTAACGCAAGGGTTACGCGACGATCTCGAACATGAGCGGAATAGGCGTCTCCAAATGGCGGACACTGCCTTGAAGCATCGAGCTGAGTTTGCCTTTGCTCAGCTTGAGAACGAGAGATCTCTGACATCTCTCCGTGACGAGCTAAGGGTAGCTCGTGGGATTGTTGATCGGTCTCGGGATGAGATAGCTGCTCTTCAGACCCTTGTGGATGCCCACCATCGGGAGCACAAGGCTCTCTGCTAGATGCTTGATCGCAAGGGCGTTCTTCATCGAAAGAAACAGCGTACTGATGGTACGGCTTAAGCCGACCAACGTAAAACGTGGGATGCGTTCGCATCTTACGTGGCAACTCGATCGTGTATTAATTGCCTAGGCGATGCAATACACAAAATGGGCCGATGTACTTGGGTAGTAGTTTACTGCTACCCAAGTTAGTCACTACATGCTTTGGTAGATTAACCGTAGACAGTAGGACTAAGTCACCTTTTATTGAATAAAAGAGTGTTTGCCCTTCCATTCTTGTCAGCGTTTTGCTTTTGCTTATCCACCGCTTCGGCGATGGAATCTTGCACAAAACGGACTACCGTTTCACGAGCCAGTATGAACTCATCTGATGACTCGTTAGCTGCAGTGCGCTGTGAGTGCACTACAGCGACATCAATCGTTTCTTCAGTGAGGGCTTCCGCACTCTCACTGGCATCATCTTCTTCGATATCGATGTTGTCGATATCGGCCTCAAACGCAATGACCTCTTCGTCAGAGCGTGATGAGCGTGAACCAAATCGGTTTTTGCTCGCGCGAGTCCCTCCCCCCCTTAAACCAGAGTTACACTCTAGTAAGGTGGGTACACGCGGATGGCGCAAGCCATTCACGTAAAACGGTGTATGTGTCGTGGACGCATGCACCGAGTTGTTAATGGCAAACTCTACCATTGGCAAAAACTCACTCCAACTCTTAAAGGAGTGTACGCGTCCTCGAAGTATCTCTTCGAGGACACGATTGGCACGTTCGGTCTGACCATCTGACTCTGGACGATCAGATGTAGACATCTTCAAGCGCGTTCCGAGTGATTTGAACACGGAACGCCAGAAATCAGCAGTGAATTGTGGATCTCTGTCTGATACGAGTTCACGGGGCAACCCATGAAGTCGGAAGATGGTGTCAATAAAGACACAAGCACAGCCACTTGCCGTGATTGTCTCGGGTACAGCCACAAGGTGTACCCTTTTGCTGAATCTGTCAACAAATACGAGAATACCCGTATTCCCGCGTGCGTCTTTGGGTAACCCGAAGACGAAATCCATTGAGATGGATTCCCAGCACTCAGCCGGAACTGGTAGAGGCTGTAAAGGTGCACGCAGTGAAGGACTTGACTTCACTCGTTGACAGACTTCGCATGCGCGAACATACTTTCGCACAAACTGATACTGGCGGGGCCAGTAAAAGTCTCGACTCACCGTGAGATATGTTTTATCCCGGCCACGATGTCCTCCTATAGGAGCATCGTGATGCTCGAACATGATCCGCAAACGCAGATCAGTATCATCTGGAATGACAACACGTGGTGTGTCACCAGAAACGGCTGTATAATACAGTAAACCGTTGCGAGTAGTGTATCGATCTGATGCATATCGATACGCAGACGACAATCGTTTCAACGGTTCTTGAGATGGTTGGGAGAGATGTGTCAACAACTTCACAATCTCACCATCTTGGGCGTATGCCCGCCTCACATCATCATACAACGTTGTAGATGGGACTGAGGACGTCATAAACGCAACAGTGACTGTCTCACTGTTGGGTTTCACGACTTGTTCAAAGTCGGGACGACGTGAGAGTGCATCAGCGACGACATTAAGTCGTCCTGGTTTGTACTCGACCGTAAAGTTGTATTCTGCAAAGAATGAAAACCACCGCGCCATTCGTTGTGAAAGGTGCGGGCTGTTCACTGCCGTGCGTAATGACGCATGGTTGGCATAAACAATGAAGGGTCTATCTCCTAATAGATAGACTCTGAACTTCGCGAGTGCATACTTCACGGCAAGAAGTTCCTTGTCATGCACTGGATAGTTCCGCTCAGCTGGTTGCAGCTGACGCGACTGGTAGCAGAAGACGCGTTCAACGCCTTCAAGATCGTACTGCATTAATGCACAGCCGATTGCGAAATCGCTGGCATCACAGACCACATGAAATGGCCTGTCCTGATCGGCTATTGCTAGGACTGGGGATTGTATCAAGCTCTGCTTGATACCATCAAAAGAGCGCTGACATTCAGCGTTCCATAACCACCTCTCGTTCTTTTTCAACAAACGAGAGAGGTGTACAGCCATCTCGGCGTAATTGCGTGAATACTTGTGCAAATACGCCGCTAGCCCAAGGAATTTTCGAAGACCTTTGACATCAACCGGCACAGGCCAGTCGGTGATCGCCTTGATCTTTTCGGGATCAGGACGTACACCGTTCTTACCAACGATGCACCCAAGAAGTGGTATTTCGCTTGCTGCAAATATACACTTCTTGAGGTTTGCATACAATTGATGCTTTCGCATGATTGTAAGAACCTGTCGGACGTGGTACCTGTGAACCTCAACATCCGACTCTCCATTCATAGCCCGACTATGGGTGGATACGTCATCGAAATAACTCGGCGCTAATTCTCGTACTGGTCTCAACAGATGTGATACACATCTGTTGAACGTGGCAGGGGCATTACTAAGCCCTTGTGGAATTACTAGCCATTCCCAGAGCATGCCGCTAGGCGTGCTAACTGCGGTAAAGGGTTTATCCCGTTCTCGCATAAGGATTTGATAGAAGCCATCCATCAAATCCATGGACGAAAAGATGGTACTCTTTGACATACCATCAATGATTGCGTCCTTCCTTGGTATCGGCGTCTGAGCCGGTACCGTTGCAGCATTCAACTTGTTAAATGCATGCACTATCCGCCACCCTCCTGTTGCTTTTCGCGCACAGAAGGTCGGAGAGCTATGTGGGGAAGTTGATTCCCTCACATGGCCTGCAGCTAAACGATCGGCAAAGAACTTGTCGATCGCAAGTACTTGTTTACGAGGCAGTGGCCACTGCTTCATGACACAGTACTTCGAGCCTGGTTTAAGCTCGATCTCGTGTCGAATACCTTTATCCTTCGGTAATTCGCACGGAACAGTTTCAGGGAATACATCCTTGAATACAACAAAATCTCCATAGAGAGGATTTGTCTTGAGCGATTCCCACGATTGGGAGTCATATCGCTCAATTAGTGTCTTTTCATCCAGGACACTCTCGTCGATAGGTGAACTACTGAGAACTCTCTCGTTCTCAGTGAACACTGTTGCTGGCCTTATGTCGGCTACACACTCGTCGTCAGCGACGAGTACGCAGATCTGCTTGACTTTGCCACTACGCAGATCACGCAAGAACATTTTATGTTCGAGCGTTGACAACTGAGTGACCTCCGAAGTCAACTTCGGAGGCGCAATCAGATCAAGTGTATAAGCGCCTACACTTGATCCGTTATTGACTATGACATTCAATGTCTCTGTCATTTTCTGGGGACTTATTCCCTCAGGCCTCGAAGGACTTATTCCTTCGGCTTCCCGGGGACTTATTCCCTCGGGTTTCGGGGAACTTACTTCCGCCGTAACTGTAATCTTGGGACTTATTCCCTTTACTTCCTCTAGCTGAAAATGCGCAACCACAGCGAGATCCTCTACGAAAGACTCTCTAGTCGATCTAAGATTATCGTTTCGCTTAACCTGAGCGATCGATTGTTTCTCTTCTAGATGTTCCCCGCTAGGGATACATCTTTGTCCCGGTCCACTCGACTTATTCGAGTGGTGGACCTTCGGCGCAGCCTGTGTTTCCTCACAGCCGCCGAAACTTTGCTCCGAAGTGTAACTGTTTGTTACACTAAGGTTTTGTGCAGTCGTACTAACGACCGTACCACAAGTGAGGCCATCGCACTCACTCGTAGTACATCCACACGCTTGTGGACGCTCCAAAACGTTCATCAGATGGCCATCTGATGAACAAGCGGCAGGCATCGTTACTGTCCGATGTTGCCAGTTTACCCGTGGTTCGTACCTTCTGAGCCACGGTATTCCAAGGATAACATCAAATTTGTTATCCAAATCCAATACGACAAAGTCATCGTCATATTGGGTATCTTCTAGCGTATAGTGGATCTTCACTATACGCTTCATGACGGTTACGGATGCGCCTGTCGCAAGACGTACCGTCATCCTCGTAGGAGGTGTGTCACATTCACTGAATTTAAAGTGACCATCTTCTAGCGATTGGCGTCGCACAAAATTGTTAGACGCCCCACAATCGACTAGAGCTCGAAGGGACAACTTATTCGTCACTTCGAGTTTCAAGGTAATGAGTGAGATCTCATTACCTAGAGCAGCAACGCACAACGTCTGTGTGTTGGGAGCAACCTTCATCAAGAGGCCTACAAATTCTCTTGACGTTGCTGGATCAGTAGGGTGCTCCGCACCTACTGATCCTGTCCGTTTTTTGACGGTCCATCCCGTTGTTGCGTCTTTGCACCAACTGCGGACCCTCGTCCCTGCCCCTTTCTCATGGGTGGACGGTCACTACGCCCAGTGTCGCGAGACACTGGACGAGGGGCACTACACTCGTAAGCGTAGTGTCCTGTCTTCTGACATCTGTTGCATCTCTGCAACTTCTTGTAGCCTGTAGAGCGAGCCTTCTCGCTCTCTACATAACAGAGTTCCATCGGCTCTGGACCTCCGTTGTCATATCGTATCGGTTGACGATATGATGTCGAGCTGGCGCGAGCCTGTCTCAGACTGAAGTCTTCCTGCTCCGCAATGGAAATGGCTTGTTCTAGTGAATCTAGTTCAAGTCGGAACATGTGAGTCTTGACGGGACCATCCGCAAGACCCTGCATGAACATCGAAACCAACGAGTGATCATCCACCGGATTGGAACTTATACAACTTGTAAGATGTCGTATATGTTGTGCGTAAGCGTGCACACCACGCTTGCCCCGTTTGAGCTTCAAGAGTTCGGTTCGAGCTCTGAACTCAGCTCTAGGCGGTTCAAACGTTTGTCTGAGCCGCGACTTGAAGACTTCTAACGACTCAAACGCATATGGGTCGTGCAACTTGAGCCCCAGTGCCCAAGTCTTGGCACGTCCTGCCAGATTTGACTGGGCAAATGCAACTTGCATATCCCCGTCGTCGATGCGACGCGCCCTTGCGTCATCCAATTCGACGAACCATCTCAAGAGGGAGTCTTCTTCGACCCCCCTATACTTGGAGATGTCAATCTTCAAAGTCTCGGGCCGACGCGAGTGCATCGACCCGCCAGCAGCAGCCTGCTGCTGTCTCAACAGTTCAAACTGTTGAGCACCTTGTTCTCTCAACAACTCTGCTTGTTGAGAACCTTGTTGGTGAAGCAAGGCTACTTTCTCGCGTTCAGCGTCAAGTTCATTTTGGATGAACTTGGCGATAGTAGCATGTTGGGCGTCTCTATTGAGAGCCTCTAGCATGACGCTAACAGCATGGATGCCCATGGTCGAACCCATTCGTTCAACCGCATCCCATTCGACATCGCTCAAATGGGAGTAGCCGGCACGCGTAGCGTGAAAGCTTTGTTCATCTTCATCATCTAGCATATTCATGTTAGATGTGAACGTGGTCCTTGGACGGACTAACTGAAGTCTTCCTGTTCCGCAATGGAAATGGCTTGTTCTAGTGAATCTAGTTCAAGCCGGAACAGGTGAGTCTTGACGGGACCATCCGCAAGACCCTGCATGAACACCGAAACCAACGTGTGTTCATCCACCGGATTGGAACTTATACAACTCGTGAGATGTCGTATATGTTGAGCGTAAGCGTGCACATCACGCTTACCCTGTTTGAGCTTCAAGAGTTCGGTTCGAGCTTTGAACTCAGCTCTAGGCGGTTCAAACGTTTGTCTGAGCCGCGACTTGAAGACTTCCAACGACCCAAACGCATATGGGTTGTGCAACTTGAGCCCCAGTGCCCAAGTCTTGGCACGTCCGGCCAGATTTGACTGGGCAAATGCAACTTGCATATCCCCGTCGTCGATGCGACGCGCCCTTATGGCGTCATCCAATTCGACAAACCATCTCAAGAGGGAGTCTTCTTCGACTCCCCTATACTTGGAGATGTCAATCTTCAAGGTCTCGGGTCGACTCGAGTGCATCGACCCACCAGCAGCAGCCTGCTGCTGTCTCAACAGTTCAAACTGTTGAGCACCCTGTTCTCTCAACAACTCTGCTTGTTGAGAACCTTGTTGGTGAAGCAAGGCTACTTTCTCGCGTTCTGCGTCAAGTTCATTTTGAATGAACTTGGCGATAGTAGCATGTTGGGCATCTCTATTGAGAGCCTCTAGCATGACGCTAACAGCATGGATGCCCGTGGTCGAACCCATCCGTTCAACCGCATCCCATTCGACATCGCTCAAATGGGAGTAGCCGGCACGCGTAGCGTGAAAGCTTTGCTCATCTTCATCATCCAACATATTCATGTTAGATGTGAACGTGGTCCTTGGACGGACTACGAAGTGCTACCAGGTGTAACGGGGCACCCTGAAGCTTGTACTGGTAACAGTACAAGCTACTTATTCTGATGACAGAATAAGGCGGTGCCTCGTAACTTCACGTACACTCGTACGTGCAGAGGAAGACGGTAAGAAGAAGCGAGTACTTGGTTAGAGTAAAAAGTAGAACTGTATTTATAATAATTAATGTCTGCAATAAATCACTATTTATCTTATCTAACGATGTCTAAATACAAATGTGTAAATCAGTTATCTGCTCACCACTCATTGCGTGTGTCTGTCGTGGCGCGTCTTCGTTGGTTGATATAATGGCCTATATCAACCAATTAGGAACTACTCGTAAGTGCTGCAGTATATTTGTCCTTATGACAATATTCTGAGAATGTAACTCTTATAGTTATATTCTATTAACAATTTCTTATAAATTGTTATGTAACGATTCACCTCATTACAATGATGGTGCCATGGTACTTGGGAATACACATTGTTTGAGAACGAAGGCGTTGCGTCAGGATTGGGCAGAGATCGATAAGTGTAAATCGACCGAACGTGTTGTGGGTGGCAGTCAATATATAGTGAGCGTGTGTCTACAAAGGGAAGGCTTATTAAGAAATGATTTTTATTTTACCTAATGTTTATAGATTTAACATAGATTTTAAAATAATGTCTCTTAAATTTCAGATTACACATATTTTAGAGCTTTTTAAATTTAAAACATAGACCAAACAGAAAGACCTCAACCCTCCATGAAGGGAGCATAGACTAACCAGAAAGACCTCTACTTTCATGAAGGGAGGCAGCTATTCGGTTAACTATCGTTCTGGCACATTTTAAACTGGTAGCAGAACCACATTTTTATTGAGGTCGCTTCCAATCGAACGTGTTCCAGCAGGACATCTCGACAAAACGTTAGCCGTTGTGTCTGGTACAGCTCCTGGTCTATGACGAATACATTTGGTGCAGAGCCATTATCCCACACTGTTGACAATTGAAACATCGCCCATGAATAAACCCGCCGTGAGCGTCTCATCGGTCATTCTGATGACGTGAAGCAGGGGCGTCGATATCGGCTGGTTCTGTATGGGCAGTCTCGTGCTCAAGCTTGATACGCGGAAAGTAGTAGCACGTAGGGATCAACCACAAATGGTCACTTTGGACGCGTGCGCGATGTAACCTAGCTTTTCATACACATACATGTTGTTTATACATCCATACAGGGTGGACATACACTTACAAAGCGTCGCGCTTGTAAAGGTAGGGCATGCATATTAGACCTAGAAGCACCTGCAGCGCGAAATTCCAAAGTGCAGAATGTCGATTTCCAGCGAGCCACAGTCGCTACGGAAGTTCAAAAGACAACAATTCACCGTCAGACGCACCCCGAGACATGCAAAATGGCCCCTAATCGATTGATTGCCTGACTGAGACGTACCGAAATGATGCTGACTGCTGCTGAAAAGACTGACAGCGATCCGCAAAAGGAGCTTACGAACTTGAGTGCGAGAAGGTTGTTCGTCACGCCTATCGGCGAGTTCCGGCTAAGCTGGTACGTAAATCCTGCCAGGAATGACGCCAACAAGTTGCAGCAAAGACAACCCCAATCGATGAACGGTCCACCGTTTCGGGATGTCGCAACTTGCAACTGCACGGGCTGTTGGGGAAAAAACCCGCAGACGTAGTTCGACAGCAAAATCGCACTACACGACATCAAGATCCCAAGCACCAACTCTTCACCGTCTGCTACATGCAGTGACCCAATAAACTGCGGGTCTTTCGGATCACTGTCGAAATCCAATCATCACGTCAACCAGCCTCTCCCGATTTTTACAGTATTTTTTTTTACGTACCGAACGAATCCATGCGGTCCCAGCGCGGCTCGCAAAGTCGTCACTCCAACCAAAGCGACTAGACTCGTCATCAACGATGATCTGTTTAGCATCGCACCAGCTACTCGGGTCACCGAAGCCAGTATCGGATGCTTCCACGCAGCTACTACGGTCAATTTACCCAAGTAGAAACACCCACAGCCTCCACCTAATGAAGCACAGATGTACAGCGGTCCAGCTGCAACGGTTTCGCTGCTCAAATCCCCTGCATGGTCTACCATGAATGAGTACGACGTAAAGACGCTATACAATAACACACAAAGCGACACCAGTTCGTACAGCCGTCAGAGGTCAACTGTCAGATCGAAAATAACCAAAAATGAATTGCCGCTCTCGTACCCTAAAAACGCCGAGCGAAATTGCGTACAGACGAGCGAAATCTCGGTGCCTTTCATCCGGTCTTCGTACCCATAGGATAACCCGTCCAGGTAAGGTCCAATCCAGTTCAATAGCATGCCCCCGACGTTCAGCTGGAACCGGTGAAGAGTGTATCCCGGCAGGTAGCACGTGGTTACGCACTCAGACACAGCTGCTAGCAGCAATAACCAGAGAAATTCGTCGTTTGTTTGACGCAGTAGCAGCAGATCATGCGCATCCTCTTCTTCGTGCTCTTTTGAAGGCAATGCCAGCACGCTGACAGCAGCATCGTCGTCTACCTCGCGCACGTTTTCGTCCCGAGTTATCTGAGCTCGTAACATGTGTCAAACCGAAGGACATTGATAGAAAAACTCCACCTCAATAGTAGCCTCTTTCTACGCAACATTCAAAACACGTTAGAAAGGTACAATCATTCGCGGCCATTCAACAATAACCCACAAACGCAAAAGAGAGGGGCACGGGTACACTCTCGAGAGGGTACCCACCGTCCCCACTTCGTACCCTTCGTTGTTTTACATTCGCACCACCTCGACGTGTACCTGACAAAGAAGACGCGGACGTGTGAGACTTTGGCTTCGTGAGCACTCCCTCGTCCAGCATGGCTCACGACCCGGCGACTCCCCACCACAGCGAAGAGAACGAGAACCAAGATGCGCATGTCACAGATGCAGCTGTCGTAGCAGACAACAGCAGCAGCGCTCTCGACGCTCGGCCCACACGAGTCGCGAGCGCGGGTATTGCGGGCCCGCCAGTCGTAGAGCAGTCACTTGACGAGCACAAGAGCACGTACCAGGCGGCTGCAACGCCACAGATTCAGGAGAGCGAAGTGTATTTTCTCATTGCCGACTTTTTGAAGCGCCGGTCAGTGTGTCACAAGGCAGCGGACGCTTTGATCCAAGAACTGGCAGAGCACGAGCTGCTTAAGAGCAGCGTGGACTGGAGCGGCAAGAGCAGGGCAGCCACGTATGATGACTATCGACTACGTCATCGGGATCTCTCGGCTGATCACTTGGTGGAGCTTTTGCAGAGCACAGCAGCGGGAACGTCGTGTACGAGACTTGACATACTGAAGGGAAGGACAAAGGAAGAAGAAAATGTGTGTGTGGTGCAGCCGAAGAGTTCGAGTTTACTGGTACAAAGGCGGAGAAAGAGACTGGTGAAGTTGTCTCTGGACGAGAGGACGAAACTGGTCAAGGATATTGTGCGCCAGCTGTTTGTGAGGAGACGAGTGACGAGGACACTGACGATTGTCGAAAAAGTAATCCAAAAGGACGAGCGGTACCGGAAGTATACGACGACCGCGACGCGCGTGGATGAGCTGCCAACGCAAGTACAGCTGATGTTGTTGAGTGGAGATGCAGCCGAGAAGACTGCTGCGGACAAAGCGAAGACGGTGGCAGCCGATGTGCGTGCATTTAAACAGCTCTTCCAGCTGCGACAGGAGCACGAAGCGGTAGAGAAAGAGATTGACATGTTGATAGACCGCGCAAAGCACTTTGGATTGCTTGAGACGACGGCACGTACCGGCTGCAATCAAGTGTCACTTGTCAGACGGCGGGAGGTTAGCTCGCAACAAGATACGCAGCTCCCGCCAGCGTATTTGTACAGTCGGATACGGAGGCTGAAAACGTTGAGTGGACATTTGCAGATTCAAGCCTACTGTCTTGCTTATGATAAATCGAGCAAAGTCGTGATCACTGGATCGGATGATAGGTACCACTTGCTTATCCCGTAACATATTTCTAGCGACGGGACAGTAGGTAACTGATGCTTTTGTGATATGTAAACAGACTTGTGAAAATCTGGTCGTTGAACACAGGGGATTTGTTGTTTACGCTTCGAGGCCATGTCGGGAACATAACAGATCTGGCTGTAAACCACTCGGATACGCTGGTGGCCTCATCGTCCGACGACAAGACTGTGCGAGTGTGGGAAATTGGTACAGGCGCTCCTGTCGCAGTCTTGGTGGGACATTCCAGTGTCGTAAATGCAGTTCGGTTTCATCCGAGCAAAAATATAATCGTTACGGCCTCGGATGACGGGCGATGCTTTTGCTACAAGGTGCCAGAGGTCCCGTTGGTAGTCCAGCCAGAAACAAAGATCGAGACCGCACGGCGATTGTATTCGCTTAATGCGTACATGCTGAGTTTGCATCCCATCTATGCGATGAAGCATGCTCGTCGAGAAGGCGTCCGTTCGTGCAAAGTGCACTGCGTAACCTTCAGTCGGTGTGGGGACTATGTAGTCTCAGGCGGTCACGATGGTATTGCGCGTGTATGGGACCTATCGGTAGCTTCGGCACCCGATGCGCCTGCCGTAGTGCCACGATTCCAGCCTACAGATGAGCCACAGGAAGCACAAGTGCAGGAGCAGCAGCGCAGCGCATCCGAACCGGGAAGTGGTCTAATACCCCCAGTGTTTGTCGGAGCATCTGGAAACCAACCTTTGAATGTGGAACCCGAGAACTTCTTGACCTCATCCATGCAGCAGGCGGCAAGCCAGGTGAACGACACCTCTGCACCTGCAGGTCCAGCCGATCCATTTCGCGCCATGACATCTCCTAGAGCGTACCTAGCTCTTGAACAGCCGCAGCTTCAGTCTCAACCTCAATTGCAATCTCGAATACCGACGCAACTTCAAGCTGGCGTAGCTATGCCACTTATAAACGATGTGGAAATTTTGCAGCGTGAGACGACGGCTCGTCAACCACAGCCAGCCCAGGTACAAAGTGACTTGCCTTCTTTATCGCTTTCCGATGACGCTGTTCCAAGTATCGAGCCGATTGCATTGTTGCAGGGTCTAAAAGGCCCAGTTTCGAGTATTGTCTACAGCCACCAGGGCGACTGTATTGTAACTGCATCGATTAAAGACAGCGCGGCGTGGATTTGGAGGTGGAAACGAAAGTACGAAAGCGTGCATGGAGCTGTCCTTCTAGCAAAAGAGTCATCATCTGAGCATGATGACATCTCAGCTGTGTGCGGGGTTCGTGGCCGCAGAAAGGCGACTCCGGTTGTCGACATGGTCGCATGGACACACAACGATAAACGGCTCATTACTCTTCATAGTGTCAAACTTAACTCGGAGTCAGCAGACCCGATTTGGGAGCAAAGGATTCGTGTTTGGGATCCGGAGAGTGGAAAGTTGTTGATGACGTTGGGTGCAGTTGATGAAAAGAAGGAGAATGGGCATGTGAATGCAGCATTTGCACTAAGCGCGCATCCAACAGATTGGCGCATTCTAGTTACAGCAGGGTACGACGGACGTGTGTTTTTGTGGGACATTTCCACAGGCCGGATGCTGAAGTCATTTACCAATTTGTCCCCGGACTCGAAACCACTTTCCAATCTAGATGGTGGTTTTATACCGAACGGCAACGGCTTTTGCTTCACAGACCAGATTGGACGATTGCTTATATTTGGTACAGGAAGCGGCGAGCAGTACGCGGCAACGCCAGTGCAGCAGTATTTCCTGCACGACTACGTGATGCTCGTAACCGATGGACATTATAACGTGCGAGACCGAGAAACTCGCGAGCTGCCGAGCTTGATGGATTCTGGGCCACTGATGGATGCCTCGCTGGTTCAGTATCCACATCAGCCACCCCATCTGCTGCCCTATAAGTTGGCTTCTGCCGAGCAACACGAAAAGAATCGAAGACGGCGAATTCAGCAGAGCAAAGAATCGGAAATTTTATGCGGAGTGCGCCATCAGCTTGAACTAGAGGAGGATATTCACTCATTTCCATCAGCGGTCGTTAAGTGCGAGGAAATGGATTTAATTCAGAGACAGGAAGTATTTGCTGCTGCTGCGACGGCACTCGGCACCTCCTCCTACCGACTAAGTGGTGCTCCAGTAACGTTGGCAGAGCTGCGGCGTCGTGGATCTCGAAGGAATGTAGAGCAACGGCGCCGACGTGAGATATCTGCTGAAGAGCGTGACACATCAGTGCTAGAGATCGAGATATCTAGTGAGGATGATCGAAGTGACGAAGACTTTCAGGTGCCAACACCTCGACATGCGGCTGCGGAAGGGGAAGATGACGAAGACGATGAAGATGAGGATGAGTCCGATTTGGACGACGACGATTTACTAAGCGAAAATGAAAGAGCAGTCATATCTCCAATGAGCTCGAGACGGGGACGGCTTCGCAGCTCCCGACAGCGCGAATTGCCCCGTGCGCGGTTTTCGTTTCGGAGTGGCCGGAGATTGCAGTCAAGTAATGACGAGGAACATCGGGATGACACCCCTCGGCAGTTGCGGGCCCGAAGAAATGCATTGAGATCTCGTTCCAGGTTGATTGTCGATAGCGACATAGAAGGAGATGATGACGTGTCTACAGGTCAGCGCGTGAGTGCTCTTGGACCTGGAAGAGACTTAAGCGATCGTGGCGACCAGGATGAGGTTGTTGTCGAGTCAACTGATGGCATGATTTTGGGTGACAATCAGCTAGATCGATTCGATTTGAGCATCACGTACAGTCAAATGCTTGAAGCGAAAAGGGCACAGCTTGATGCAGTGCCGGTGCCACCAGAGAATGGAGAGGCTGCATTGTTACCATGTGCATTTTGTGGTGTGGGAGATGATGACGCGATGCTCAAGCTTCCTGGAGACGGCATGGGTGTATACCCGTTGATTTATGGAGCTCAAAGGGTGTTCGTGCATGATCAATGCGCTATCGCCTCTCCTCTTTGTTTCAACCGAGACGGCAACTGGTATAATGTGGCCAAAGAGATTCGTCGTGGACGCTCACTGGTCTGTGTTGCATGCAACAAGCGCGGTGCGACGATTGGTTGTACGATCGCCGCATGTCGTAACTCTTACCATTGGAAATGTGCAATCAGCTTTGGTTGGTCGGTGGACCAAATGCAGTTCTTCTGTCCAGCTCACCAACCTAGGCGCACGGAACAAGAGGAAGACAATCAATCCGCTACAGAAGATGGTGGGGCCGTCACTGAACCTGCCTCCAAACGATTTGGTCTGAGATTCCATCGCGAGTGGTTGCAACTGACAAGTCTTCGATCAATCCATCAGTACGTTCCACAAGTTGGCGATTACGTGGTATACCTGCCAGAAGGACATCCTGGATACTTACGTTACGGAGGAATGCCACACCCGAGATATTATGCGCAATTATCCAGGTTCTATGCTATTAAGTGTCGTGTCATTGATGTAAAGTATGTTTTCCCAACTGCAGAAGAGCATACGAGGTGCAACACTATCAAATGTGAGCTCTCGCTCGCAGTGCTTGCTGTGCCAACATCAGCTGCCCGGCCTGCTGGGCATCACGAAGAGCAGAAACAGGAAGAAGCAACTGCAGAAGCCGAGGTTTCCGACACAAGGGATATGTTTCATCCGGAGTCATCCCTTTTTGCAGAATTCACGAGTGTTGACGAGCAGTTGTCTCCTATTGCGAACGAGCCATCGACACGCTTCACCTTCAAGATGCTGTATCACTCAAACGACGTGGCAAATTTTCTTGTGCTGGACCATATTTACGAAAGCGGGGTGTGCGGCGATTGGCACATCGGTGATCGAGTTCAAATGCCATTCGTACAGCTAGATGAACACGGTCTTGAGATCGAGGCAAAAATGTCGTACGGGACCATTGAAAATATCCTTAGGAAGCCTTTTTCGTCGAGCAACTCGGCCGAGGTTTCGCCATGGGACTGCGTCATGGTCGAGTGGGATGACCCGGACGATGATACTTGTGCTGTCTGTCCGTGGGAACTTGAGTCGGCGCTACCTGAGGAGCGGCGTGAGAAGCGTGAACTCTCTCTTCGCAGGCGCTCAATGCGGCTTTTCTTTTCGAGGAATATTATTGGTGATAAGTGTGAGGCACTCTTACAGGAATTGGATCAGGTGTTGGCGCTGTCCATATCGCGTGACTTCATGTATCCCGTCGACGAAGAAACTTTCATGGACTATCCGATATCTGTTGCCAATCCTGTTGATTTGACCAAGATCCAGCAGCGACTTCGACAAGGTTATTACCGTCAAGTGGAGGCGTACTTGGCGGATGTGAAGCTAGTGAGTACCAACTGCGAGACGTACAACATTCCGTCGAGCCCAATCTCTCAGAACTCACGAAACTTGTACTTCGCTGTGTTGACGCAAGCACAACGTCATTTCCCGCATCTGTCGCGCGGTGCTAACAATGTCAATCGTCAAGAGGCTGTCAGAGAGGCGGTAACCACGACGTATGCGTATCCGCCTGACGACTTTGTGACAAACTTTACTGAGGAATCAGAAGAAACGCGGTTAGAGCTATTGGAGGTCGGCTTGTTGACCCCGGTGCCCGAGGACAATCTGTCAGCTCCTGTTGCTACTCTCCACCGCGTCCCGATCTAGCAGGTCAACATCCGTCGAGAGCAATCGAGTTGAAGGTTCTCCTGATGTAGCTACTGCTGCTGTCGCTGATCTTGCTGCCCGAGATGTTTCAACGGAAACAAAACCTCTGCGTGGCACGCACGGTGTTGAGGAGACGGAAGAAGGTGACGACGTTGAGGAAACGGTGGATCGCGTAATGCAGCAAGATGGCGGAACAATTGTTGACAACGTGTCTGACGAAGGTCTAACTGAGACGCCAAATGCGGCAGATGGTGCTGCTGCAGGTTTCAACAGCCCGAGACCGCTTCGGAATCGTGAGATAATTGAACCACAACTCCTGTCACCTCGAGTTCGCCGCCCGACCCGAATGGCCACGAGTCCATTAAGTGGCACACTTGGTGGTGGAGGAAATGCGCGAAAGCGACAACGCAAAACTCCGGTCAAAGTGCTTTTGACCCACTCCGCCCTCATGGATCATTACTCGAGCTCAGAGCGTGAAGCTATAAAACGGGCATGTGACGAGGATCTGAGAGCTGTGCTGCAAGTGTTTCACGAAGCCCTCTCTGAAGCTGACAAGACCGACATTTTTGCCTCGCCCGTGACTGACGACGTAGCCCCGCATTACTCGGAGACGATCACGCGTCCAATGGACTTCGGAACGATTCAGAACAAACTGCATAAGTACAGAAGCTTTCGCGACTACTTCGTAAGTGCTGCATGGTCTGCACGTGATGTCTATTCTACGCGTACTCATTGACATGCGGATTTGCTCTCCAGGCCCAGGTGGAACTAGTGTTTTCCAACGCGATCAAGTACAATGGCTGGGACTGCTTTATTGGTGGTCTTGTGGAGGACATGCAACAGTACTGCACCAAGTTTCTGCTGGATGCTGTGGGCGTGAATCTCCAAGGGCACTCAGCCCCTGCAGCGAAGAAAAGTAGGAGATCAGCGGACCCCGCTTTTCACGCGGGCAACAAGTCATCGTCTGCTGTAGCCGGTAAACAGCGAGCCCGTCGAAAACCTTCCGCTACTGGTTCAGAAGACGAAGAAGAAAGCTGGCATAGCAGCGTATCAGAAAGTGAAGAGGACGAGGACGAGGACGACGAGATCGACGAAGATGATGATGACGAGGATTTCAGTGATGGGTCCGACTATGGCGGTACAGGAAGGAAGCGACAGCTTCGGCGGCGTGCATCAGGCCCAAAGAAGCAAGAAAAAGAAAACCAGGCGGCGCTACTAACGTGCCATGCGGGCAGCGACCATTGCGGTAACAGAAGGAGGTGCGACGGTAAGGAACTTGAATGCATAACTGCGATGCTGCCGGTCTCTAGCGACACCTTCTTATGCCAATGGCTCAACCAGTCGGCATGTAAGTGTGAGCAACAAGGCATGGGATATTTAACCACACTTCTATGTAAACGAGATAGATGCATGCAACGCTGGACACCGTTACAACAGTTTCACCCCGTCCGTAATCTTCTCAGTTGCTTCGGCGTTCTGCGCATCCATCTTGTCCATCGTGCGCGATGCAATGAGCTGCAGTGCCCGCAGGTCCGAGCCCTTGACTCTCTTCCGTGCCTTCTTGTCCGCCATGCACAAAGCGCCTACAACTACTCCCGAATCCTTCGCAATCATCGGCACGCCCAGAAAAAACTGCACTTGCATCGAGAGCGCCAACGGGTTCTTGGCAAACCGAAGATCCTTTCGACAATCCAGCACAACCAGAGGTTCATGCGACATTAGAGCGTGGGCGTCCACGCCAATGTCACGCGGTACCTGGTCGCCCACAAGACCGACCGTGGTCACGAACAAACTCGTTGACTTCGTCACCACTGAAAGAGCAGCCACTGGACAGTTGACAGTCGTGCGCGCCAAGTCCAATAGGTCACGGAGAACAGTATTGGCAAAGTCCTGCGACAGATTCAGCCGTTGAATGATCTGGACGCGCTCATCTTCCGTTGACGTCAATGGAGCATCGGGCCACGAATTGCCCTTTGCGAACGTCAGCTCGTAGTCATACGGGGAAGTCACGACCACGTCGCCATCATCCTTGCCGCCTTGGCTGAGACCACTGCTGGACGTGCTGCTTGGACTCGTAGGCAGGTTTGCTGCAAGCGTGGGCTCGATCGAGAATCCAGCACAAGCTTCCTCTACTGTAACGTGTGCCGAGCTGCCAAAGCACTCACTATCACTCCCACGACTCGACGCTCCTTCACTAGCACTTGATCGACCGGCACCGCTGCGATTATCGTAGGTGGCGCTCGATGCGCCATTCGGTCCGTTCTGGTCGCCATTCAGACACGCCATACACACACGCGTGCTGCCTGCGAGCTTCGAGCGCTGTGCGTCTTTCCGAATCGCGGAGCATTTCGAACAGACCGCCGAGCCACAGATGCGACAGTGGTGCGCGCGACGTGTAAACATGGAGAAACCACCGGCACAGACCGAGCACGTGTCTCGGAAATGCCAGCTCCGTCGGTCCCGTAGCTGGTTGCGGCGGATCCGACGATTCACCAGTGCACTGGGCACGAGCCGCACGCATCCGGCAAGCCGCAATAGCCATGCACGATCTTGTTCAAGTGACGGAGCACGATACGGTGCCGTCACGAAGAACGACACACGAGTGGTCGTCGAGCTCTTGTCCTCCGATGCCTCGACGACAAATCCGCACTTGTGCAGCGGATGACGCTGCATGTGCGTCTGGGAAAAGATAGGTCCACACCGCGGCAGCTCAAGCGACTCCAACACCGAGACGCCGTACGACGCTCCACCGCCTAAGGGGTTGTTCCCACCACTGCCGGTACAAAACGTCTGATTGAACCGCATGAAGAAAAACTCCCGCAGTGGCGCTTGCGGGTGCACGTCATTGAGCGCGAGCCACTGGACCATGAGCGACGACGTGGTCGGTCTCGTCCCACGCGGACTCTGCAACGCCGTCGTGGGCGTCGGAACCTCTGGCGTCGGCTCGGGCGCATTCCCTGCATCGATATCCACTTCCGTGTAATGGAGGGCCTGTCCTGCCGCGTACTGGGCGCCCAGCAGGTCCTGCAAGAACGCGTCCACTTCCACAGCTGTGCGGCCCGAGAGCAGCGCCAGGACCTCGTCACACGTCGTGTTCTGGAGCCGCACGACGCCCTTCATCACGAGCAGCTCGTCGCGGTCGTCGTGCATCTCGTAGACGGTAAAGTTCTCCTTCTGCTGCCGCAGCACGGCGCTAGCAGCCACGGACCCTTCGACGCCCTGGTCGTCGTCCGTGACCCACCGAATGAGCTGGTTGATGCGACGCTCGCCGAGAGCCGCGAGCTCCTTGAGGCGCTCTTTTGTCATGGCGCGAGGCACTTCGTATTGACGCGAGACTTGCTCGGCATAGACGCGCGAGCCCGAGGCGCTTGAGGACGACGCGCTGATGCTCTTGGTGCCGCCGATGGAGCTCTTGTTCCTGCGAAACATGGACGCGTGGACAGATAGATCGATGGAGACGTGGATGTGGACGGAGACGTGGACGTGGACGCTCGAGAGAGAGAGAGAGAGAGAGAGAGAGAGAGAGAGAAGAGCGCGATTGGGCTCGGCCGGACGAAAGTGCAAGACTGTCAGTTTGCAGAAGTGCGGGATGTGAATACTGTGAGAACGCATGGTACTGAAGCAAGCCGAAAGGATTCGATATGGGAGGGAGCTGAATTTTGCGAGGGGTGATCATGAGACCGACTGTCGAGTTGACGGTGGTGGCAAAGGGTATGCAGTTATAGAGAGAGCAAGAGTGAGAGGTGGAGGGATCGTGGATATGGAGTTTCACGGGCGACTGCGGCCGCGTCCCGTTTGCAGTCGACGTGACGGCGACAAGTTGCCAGCTGCTGGCGACTATTCGTGCTGAGCGTCTTTTTTTTGCCACTGCTAGAAAGTGCAGTAGATTCACTTGACATTTCGAAGGCCGCGGCAGAGGCGAGTCTTGACATACCGGGGCTCTTACTACCGAAAACAGCGATAAGTCACTGGCAGAAACGCGGATGCGAGTCACACACGGGGTTCCATCATGACGAACTTTTCGAAAATGACGACGCGTTTTCTAGCCCCCATTCCCGTTTCTGCTCTGCGCTTTGTTGTACAGTACACGCATAAGAAGGAACTGAGATGGCTACAGGGACCAGGTGTCGCGCGGAGAGCTCCTTGAACACTGCCATTGGCCGCTACCTGAACAGCAGTTCTTGCCTTGCTGCTGCATGTCTTAGCACTGAATGTACGCTCGGGAACGTTGTTCAGATTCAATAGTTGACAGTCATTGCGAGCTTGGGGCGTCAAAGTGCCTGAAGAGCAGTAACTTGCGGACGTGGGCCGCACTGAGCGCTGAATGAACCGCCGGTAGAGCGACGCGAAGGACGACCCGCTATTGAACGGGTGTGAAAACAACAAAAAAACTTACACCCCGATAAACAATGAGGCAGACCGATGCCGATGACACAAATGTCATCCAGCGCATGGGCCAGCGGCAGAGTGCACTCACACGACGTGCCTTTTCACCGTAACGTCGCTCGATTCACCATCCTTGAGGAGCAATGAAGAGCGACCAGTTGGAGTCGCAGAAACCTGAGCTGAGTGCGCAGCTAGTCAGTGCCCCTTGCAGCTTAACACGTGTGTGTGGGGAGGGTGTGAACACGACGAAGTATCCCCGCGCATGCGTTATCCCGTTTCAATGTGTTGAGATTGCCATCTGGCCCTCGTCCACATGGTAGTCGTTGTGCGCAACCATTGCGATGCCCAGACAGTTGTCAAGGTGGCAGTGCCAACTGCGCTGCTGACCTTAACGTTCGTCTAGAGAGTTAGCGTAGCCACCGTGACTAAGATTGAGGCTGACAAAGGGATAACGAGTGGACTGCAACCACGATGAGAAAAAACATCTATCCTGCACGTACGTATCGATCGATACATGTACATATCGATATCTGAGCTAGGACGACAGCCCCGTTCCACTCTCTCGCAGTGTTCGTTCGTTCGGCTGTCTGTCTGTCCGTGTGTCGTCAATCCAGCCCAATTGTTGAGCGTAACCCCCCCCGCTGCACCAAACGTCGTTCTTTTGGGGTGGCATTTTTCGTAGCTCTTTTTCCGCACGACACTCCAACGACACACAAATCCAAACTTGACCTGCACAAGCACATACCAAAGTCCATCAAGTTCCACAAGCTATTACCTTCCACCACTTCCACGAGTGATGGTCTCAGAATAGTCCCTTTGCCGTAAAAGGAGTTTTGTGCGGTTCCAAAAGCCACACATTTACATTCATTCACCAGCCCAATCGCGAGTGCAAACCCCCGGAAACACATGGCTCTGCGTGTAGCGGTCGAGAAGGCCGCGGCTGCGTCCAGCCCGGCCGTGACGCTGTACCGGTACATTACCAAGCAGGTTCCACGTGTGCTCACGCTTTACGACATCCCCATGGAGCCATCAGAGGCGCGACTGGCGGTACAGGCGCTCTTCCGTCAACACGCGAACGTGAGAGACCCGCGCGTGGTGGATATGCTCATTACGAAGGCCAACATGGAGCTGGAGGAGACGCTCATGCAGTGGAAACAGAAGGTGCATCTCATGGCGTTGCTGGAGCATGGCCAGGCGCTGCGCACGCCGGTGCCGGCTGTGGATTCGGCCGAGCAGGCGCTCGAGAAGTTTTTAGCGGGCGTGGACGACGACGAGGACGAGCTCTGAGTTGGGGAGACGGTCTGGGACAGAGGGAGGGTCTGAGGGAAGGAGGAGAATGCCGGAACGAATCTCCTGTGTGTGCGTCGTTCTCTTTGCTTGGTGTGTAGGGGAGAGAGAGGGAGAGCGAGAGAGCGAGAGTGAGAGAGGGTCGTGTGTAGACAGTGGAATACGTCGACGCTTTTTCTCTTTTTTTCGTTCTTCTTGATTGATGACTGGAATATGGGGACGAGTCGCTACTAATGATGATACGTGGATACAAGGGATGACGAGTGGATTGAAGCAGCTTTTGTTTTGTGTTATTCTGGCGATGCTGGTTGTGGTGGTTCATGTTGAATGAAGCAGACAGACAGACAGACAGACAAGCAGACAGGCAGGACTCGGGTGGAAGCACTGGCCTTTGCAGTCGATAACTTAGGAGAACAGCACACATACAATTGGGCAGAACCGCTGCAGGCTCACTCAGGTAGCGGGTTGACGTGCATACGGACCTGGCACTTTGTCGTGTAGGCGGATCGCAACAACTCTTGCATAGTGAGTTCCTCTGCGCCGACAGCGCCTGTTTCCGGAGGCAACGAGGCTTGGATCGTGGGCTTCAACATGTGCACATTGCCACCATCTCTCTGCACTGCGAGGCTCATCAGTGTGTTCTGCTCCACCCCGCGGACAGCGACGTCCGCCAAATTGCGGAGGAAGAGATACTTGTCTCCTGGCAAGAGTGCACGCGCAAACGGGTCGGCTACGCTAAACGAGCCAACAACATGTCCGTCCGTTGTGATCATGGGAAATCCCGCAAAAAACCGCACACGACCATCCGTTACCAGCGGGTTATTCGCGAAACGAAGGTCTTCAGTCGCGTCTAGGATCACCGTGGGCTCTGCCGACATGATAGTGTGAGCGTCAAGGAGGATGTTGCGCGCCATCTCCCGCTTCTTTAGCCCGATCTTCGCCATGAGGAATCCGCTCTTGTCCCCAATGAAGCTGATCGTTGCGATCTGGCAACCCAACTCGGCAGCAGCGTACTCACACATCTCCTGGAACTGCTTGCTTGGGTCAGCCAAGTGCAGCTCACGTACCTTTTTCAGCCGACCAGCCTCATTTGTTGGAACTGGTGCCTCTGGCCACTCCTGCGAGTCGCTGTAGGTTAGCGCATAGTTGAACGGCGTGTTTGCACGCACAGTGAGCTTCTTCTCGAGCAGAGCAAGTTCATGAACACTTGGTCGCGTAAGTCCGTCCATCCAGTGGAATTCGCTGGACTCGGAAAACTCAGACGTCATGTTGGACTCGTCCTCGACGGGACGACTGGATCCACTTGGGTTCACCTTGTTGACAGGATCAAGCATACGAGGGCGTTGACGGCGAAAGGATCCGTTGCTCTTCAGCGGGTGCGTCTTCGGACGAACGGTCTCCCTTATGGACTCGGTCACGTTTGTTGTACTACCCGAAACGGACGCGTTACTAGCGTCGAGGTTACAGCTTTCACGAGAGCTCGAAAAGCTCGGCAAGCTTCGAGCACTGCCCTCAACACGTGCGAGAGGCACCGGATTCGAGCTCCTGTTCGACGCCAAGTTCGGCGTTGTACTCGTTGAGTGGCATCGGCTGCACAGACGGACGTCTTTATTCCGGCTGGACCGGCACAGCGTCGTCATCTCCGAGCACGCCCTGCACACAATGTCCCCGCACACTCGGCAGTGGTGTTTGCGTCGGAAGACACTGAACGCCTTTCGACACAAGTAGCAGTTCGGTCCATTTGTACGGAAGTCGCGCTTCGTCAGCAAGCTGTGCGAACTCAACGCGCGTGTCAAGAGCGCGTTTGGGATCTGGGACACACAGCTCACAACCTTGGTCATCCAGGAGCGTGTGAGCGAGGACACCATGTCACGACCGGGATGGCCTTCGGATAGAAACAGCGACACGCTGAGCGCTCCGTCACATCCAGTTTCCTCAACAACAATCCCCGATCGACGCAGTCGCAGTCTCACCACGTTCTGCGAAGGTGGCAAGGGTTCACAGCCGTCAAGCTCGATGGACTCCCAAATGGAGGCGCCAATGTGAAGCCCCGATCCGTTGCTCTGGTACACGCCGCCATGCTCCAAGTCCTTTTCAAACAGGTCGTTGTACCGCAAGAAGACGTAGTCCCGGTGCTGCAGGTTGGGCTTCGATGCCTGCAGGGCGGTCCAGCTCACCGACATGCTCTCGTTCGGTCGTGTGCTTGACTCGGGCTGCGTGTACAGCACGACGCCGTCTAGGAACAACGGGCCGAAGATGTCGCCCATGGAGTCACGGAGCCGAGACGTCGAGTCCATCCGGAGCATGCGCATGACTTCCTGGATCGGCGCGCGAACGGTCGTCACGGCTTTCATGGTGTAGAACTCCTTCTCGCACAACTCGTAGAGCTTGAGACCGCTCTTGTCCTTGAGCAGCTTCATGGCGAAAGGGAACGTCAGGGCATCGATGCGGGACTGCCCCAAGAAGCGCAAGTTGCGCTCGATGGTGTCCGTGATGTTGACACGATAGGATTTCTCCACCATGGGGAACATGGACGACAGTCGCTTGTTCGGAGGGCTCCTGCGCTCACTCGCTCGGTCAGACTCGCTCTCGTTAGTCGCACGAGAGCCGATCGATCGGGACGTCTCGAGGCGAGGGATGTGGGATTGTGCGTGGGTCGTGGATTGATTGCGTTCGTGGATTTGCCGCTTCTCTGGGGGAAACTGCGTCGACTACAAGAGCTTGCGGTGGAACAGCTGGAGCATGTCATTGGACGACGGGCTGGATGGGCGGCACTCGAGACATGCGAGCGACTTACACTTGTCATTGATAAAAGGGACGTGTGTGTTTCTGAAGCCAAGTGACGCTTCGACTGCAAAGGGCGCATGGAGTCAGTCAGTGGTGACTCGGTGCTTTATTCGCGACATCGACCGACTGAAACAAGGCAGAGGCTTTTCGTCTCGAATGAATGGGGTCGGTCGGTATCAATGGGCTGAACGAGAGGATGCAGCTGGACTGTTGACAAAATCAGCACAACGTCTCTGCTAGGCGAGCAACACGGTAGCTTGCAGTGGTACGTGGATGACACAGGACGCAGGGTCTTTTCTCCGCCACGATGGTCGGTTGCGATTGAGAGTGCTGTTGTTGTCGTCTCTCTTCTCTCGAGCAGGAGGTGGCAGGGAAGGTCTCATGCTCGGATGGTTGTCAATGACAGGGAACTGCGCTATTGACCAAGTCGACACCACGTCGGAAAAACTGCGCGACTAGCTGTACGGACTTCTCCGCGCATCACACAACAAACAGTGTGAGAAGCTACCGCATTGAACATGACACGAAGAAGCCAGCTCACCTCTTGCAAGAGCCCAAACACGTCAGTATCTTGATTCGGGTGCACGAATTTGAGCTGCTCCAGGATGATTCGTGTCGCTTTCTCGCACTCAAGTCGAGCCACTTGGAGCTGCCGTGAGTGAGCAAAAAGGTGGTTCAGAAGATACCAGGGACCGAAGCACGGTTCTGGTAGTGCAGGCGTACCGCATGTTTGCGCTCTGCAATCCGGTTGACGTGTCCTCTCTGCTGCTCCAGAGCCAACTGCCATCATGAACTTGTGTCAGCAGTGTGCAGACGTGCATGATCAAAAGCATTGCGCTTACCACCCGCTCAGCGTATTCAACGTCAACGACCAGCTTTGCACGTTCCGTGATGAGCGAGCGGACGCGCTCGAGCTCGGCGATTCGATGGTCGATCTTTGCAAGAACGGACTTCTCGACTTGATCCTGTTTGCACGAATGGTACGCATCAACCGCGTTACAGGTGGATCAGCGCAACAACGTACACTGAAGACGAGCGAGCATTCGAGGATGTTGCTTCCTTCCACCACTACGTTGGCTAGTGCGTCTTGTGAGCCATCTTGGAGACGTGCTGAGTTGCCGGTGAAGCAACAAATAGCGGTTGACAAGCCTGGCAAAGGCATCCCCGACCGACCACATAGACATGAGATGACAACCAGCGGGCAGACGGTATTCACACTTACTGACGATGCTCTCCGAGTACGCAAAGACACTGTTGCGAATCGTTGTGAGTTTCTCGATGGCCACCTTGTTGCTTGAGAGCTCTTGCTTGAACATCAGATCTCTGGATGGATCAATAAGATGACACGCAACGAGTACGTGCTGAACGAAGCGATTCTTGCGGCTCCGGATCCGCTGTGCTAGGCTTCGTTTTGTACAGCCGAGCGCACCATTGTCGATCCGCCGCACGTCCCGAATTTGATGGCACCGGACATCAGTAGTAGCTGGTGATTCTTCCTCGCCCAGGAGCGGGCACGAGTCATTTCCATCTTGTCGGACATGCTCCATCTGCTCCTCGGTAATTGATTCATTTTCTCGTCGCCGGGGCGTGGAGGACGCCATGTTGACCTGGACGCGATGGAAGAAATATCGCTGGTCGGTCGTGATCGATACGAAGAGGGAACGATTTTGCATCCGTCGCCAGCACTGAGACAGTCGATGAAGATGTTGGTCGCTGCACTTGCTTCTTATTCATCGGTGGACACTGGACGACCATTAATTGTAGCAGTTTGCTGAAGCTGACTCGATCGAATGAACTCAGCGTCTTTGGTTGACCACCTCGAGGTCGCTGACTTGCTCGATGGAACAAACATGCGTAAATCCATCTGACGCGTTGTACGGCACCTTGAATCGTTTGCACTTGTCGAAAAGAGCGTTCGGTACCAGAACACATACCATGCAAATTTAGGAAAGCTCTTCTTGGTATCGGCGACCAGCTGGAAGATGCTCAAGTTTCTGTGCGATTCGCACAGATTCTCCAAGCCGATCACAGAGATCCATAGACTCCGCGATTTTGCTGGACCAGTGGAGGAGCACGCAGTGCTGAGTCATCTGTGCAATGTGGCGTCTCTTCACTGCAGTAACATCAGCAGCAGTAGCACTCCAAGGCAATTCGATAGTCTTCAACTAGTCACTTGTGGATACACTTCTGCGTCGACACGCGTCGGGGTCGTGTCCAGCAGCAGCAAACAAGCGTGATGGAAGACGACACGCTGAAGTCTGGATTGACCACCGAAAACGCGACTGCCGCACTACCGCATTGGACCGCGGTATGAACACACATTATCCATCATCAGCCTTGTGCTTCCTTGATAGCACCATGCAATGGCGAGAATGTTGTTGCCAGTGTTTACACCATGTCAGCGGTTCTGGGTGCATTTTTGCACCTTTTCCAATCACTACAGCCAATTAGCATCAAAATGACATACCTGGCAAAACATTGCAAGTCAAGCAATATTTGACACCTGAATGATGAATAAACTAGTCGTTGGTCATCTCATGTCTAGCGACAGGTCAGTGATGAGATCGCACTGATCGTGCCACTTCAACTACAACAACACATCATTCATGACAAAAACAAGTTACACGATCACAACAAGAGTTCAAAGAGTGGTGGTAAGATGGGTACGATTTCATCATCTTCCTCCTCGAAACTCGAGTAATTCTCAACCCGACGTCGCTCGATGCCGCTCTCTCATTTCTTCTTCTTCGCTGACGAAAGTAGCTTCGCACGGTCGTGAATTCGTTTCTCGACTTCTTCTTGAGCGGCCTTACGCGCCTCCGCCAATGACATCTTCTGCCTACCTCCTTTTGCATGAGCTGCACTTGCCTTGTTTGGTCCGCGAGGCTTCTTGGCAGCCGGAGAGGACTTGGATGCTGCAAACAACAAGACACACACGTACAATCAGCAAAATATTAGACACCTGAAGCATTGGGAGACGAAACACTCACTGGCAGCACGACCAGGAGTTCGCAGTCGCGACTGAGACACGTCCTCCATCTCCACATCATCCGATTCACTGCTGGCTAAAGGTCTCTTACGTCCAGTTTCGTCCGTGCTACATGGAGCTGGTTGGCGCCGACCAGCTTCAATTGCAGCCCGGGCAGCTACTTCTGCTGCGTTTGCTGCTTGCTGTGCAGCGAATTCCGCGTGCTCGCGTGACGCCTTCTCTTGTTGAATTTGCAGCTCCATGCTGATGCGTTCTTCCTCCTTTTGCACAATCGTGTGCCTCATCTCCTCCAGCTGCCGTCTCAACTCTTCGGCTTCAACGTTCTTCTTCGCCTCGGACATCACCTGCACCTCAAGCTGACGCTTCTGAGCCTCCACTTCAGCAGCCCTATGCTTCATCTCGTCCAGCTCACGCTGCAGTCGCGCTTTCTCTTCCTCCTTCACCTTCGTCTCGTGGCGAGACTTCTCTATCGAACAAAGTTGCTCCTCCTGTTTCTGTCGTTCCATTCGAGCTGTTTGTAACTGCATCTCTTCCACACGTTGCCGCAGCTCACGAGCTTTGCCCTCCTCTTCTTGTAGCTTGTCACGAAGACGTTTCGACTCGTTCTCCCTTTCGCCAAGCCATTTCGAGTGGTCACTCTTCAGGCGGTTGATTTCTTTCTCCTTCTGCTCTGCAGCTAGCCGCTCTCTCTCGCGCATACGTCTTTCTTTCTCTGCTATATCCAATGCTTCCTTCTTTTCGATCGCAAGCCTGAAGAAATCGCGACAAAAGTTAGAAACCAGCTCCTATACGAACGAGGCGTATGGCAAACCACACACCGGTTGAGCATCTTTTGATTGTCCACGGCTGGCCTGCAATCACTCGTGAGAATCTCGCGGAGGCTCTTTGCAGTAAACTTGGTGGCATCACGATCCGCTACACTTGACAGGAACTTGGCGGCATGATCTTGCAGGACAAAACGAAACATCGAATCGATCGCATCGTCCGTTGTTGGAAAACCAACTTCCTGGAGCTTCAACTCGAACGCCTTAGTTACGTCAACTCGCAGCTTCTCGTACTGCTCAGTTTCCTTGCGGACACCAGCATCCTTCTCCAATTGGTGATTTCGATGCAGGTACTTATCCGCAAACTACAACACACACCACAAGAACGTCACTGAATAAGAGTTCAGCTGCCGAGAGAAAAGACATGTCACTTACGTCATCGCCGAGTTTCTCTAGCTCTATGCTCTTCGTCTCAAGATCACTCTTAAGAATCGTCCACCCTTGAAGCTTGTCTGCCATGGTGCCTTTTACATGTGCAACTGCACTATCAATGGCAGCCTTGATTTCTTCTTCCAGCATCGGCAAGTTCCCGTCAAGACGGTAACTGACCTGCTTTCCCAAGTCCTCCCGAGCCGCATAGCTGATCTCGTTCAGAATCTGGCGCATTTCGAGTACATACCGTCGATTCATCTCGTCCGCCAACTGAGCCTTGTGGTGCTCAAGATCGGCATGCAAGTCGGATACGCTAAATTCGCTAACGTCGCCAGCCTTTTGTGCCACTTCTTTCATCACCCTAGCAAAAATAACACCTACCTCATTTTGCAGCTTGGTGACCGTCACAGGACACATCGCTGCAAATCGTTTATCCAGGTTGTCGTGCAACTCGGAGCTCATCTGCGCTTTGGCTGCACGAACCACATTGTTTAGTGCGGCAGTGGATTGCTGAATAGCTTTGTCGTTTGCAACCTCCAATTTGTCGAACAGGAGACTGGCATTTTGTTCAATGCGGCCACACTCGATCTCAACTCCACGAGATCCCTGCAAGCCCATGGGAAGGGCTTTAATGCGTGTCAACTCACGGTTGAGCATCTCCGTGCACACCTGCCGCAATTGCGTACCCTTCATTGGAAGTTGAGTCTTTTCAATAACCTGGCACTCCCTTTTCAACGATTGAAAAGCAGCATCAACTTTTGTGGCAACAAGCTGTGTGATCTTCTCGCTGTTCGCGTGGAGTGCGATCGTAATTTCTTTCTCGGCAAACGCATGAAGAGAAGCCTGGATCTCCTTGCGCACTGCAGTCGGAAAGCTGTTCATTTTTTCGTAGGCTTCCAAAATAATCATTTTGACATCTGTGTGCAGCATCTTGTCAAACTCATCACTCGCTACCACTTCTTCCAGCCCTGCAGCTTCGCAATACGCTGAAATCTCCTTCTCGCAGCTTTGCTTTGCTGCTTGAGCCTCTGCACGTACCATAGATGAATAAATCGACTCGGGCATGATCACTTGGTCACTGTTCAATGTATCTACTAGCGCCGGCATAATCTGCATGAGATACTTTGCCGTCAACGGACGCTGGTAAAACTTCATAGGGTGCTGCAGCTGACTCGACAGACATTTGCGCAGCTCACGAAGCTTGTCCTGGAACGGCTTCTGCAGCATATCAAAGCGGATCTTGTCTTTCAGATTGGCTGTGTTGGCCACAGGCGCTGGAAACAGCCATATATTGATCGACTCGAAGGCTTCAATCAGGTTCACGCGGGCCAGGTTTCGCACGTTCACTTCTTCACTCCGCCCCTTCTCTTTCTGAAACAAGTCTCGATACACTTCCTCTGGCGTCGAGCCCACAAAGCTCCAGTCTCGAAACACTCTGCACACATACAGACGTAGAGCCACCACCACAACAATCACCGCATCAGCCGCTTCCTTCAGTCCCCACCATACAGCACGCAACAAGCAAACACATCTACCACGCACAAATGCAAATGTCCAAACACTTTCGTGTTGGCTCCGTCCGCCAGCTCAATGCCCTGGGCTGCGCGTGCCAGCACGGCAAGCAAGTTTAACATGCGGTCTGCTTGGAGACTGTCTTTCCAATTGAAAATCACCACTTTGGACGCCAGTAGCACGGGCGACACGAGTCTCGAGTCATACGTAATGTCTCGATCTCCCTGACCTTCCGCATCGACAAAGCCAATGCGAATATCCTTGCCGGCTCTCGAGGCCACAGGCGGGCAGCCATTGAAGCCACTGAAACTGCTGAGCGGGACCAAATGGCCAGATAGATCCACGCCTTGCGTGCACGGCTCGCGCAAGTTCGAGATCTTGAACAGATCTTGCTGATCAGCCAGCAGGTTCATGAGGAACGACTTGCCCTGTCTGGCTGCTCCAAAGATCGAAATGAGGTTGACGAGCGTCTCGCCGAGAGGATTAAACACTTGCTCAGCAGCTTCGGCGCTGATAAACATCTGGTCGCTCTTGCCAGCTGTAGGTCCACCCATGCCGAGCCACTTGACAGCCTACAAGAGACACACAGGATGACAAAAAATACACAGGAAGTTAGGCAAGGAAGAGAGGTACAAGAGGGAGCTGAAGAGGCAAGAGGAGACGCAGTCGGACCTTGGGTTGGGTCGCGTCGCCGCTGCGGAAGAACATGCTCTTGAGCGAGTCCATGTCGCGTCCGTTGTGTTCAGCGGATTCCAAAGTCGCTCGTTGATTGGCTGCGGGCGGTCATGCGTACCTAGTGCGGAACCCGTTCTTAAACTGTGCAGCAGGCACGGATGCTCATATGCTCTTATACACACGCAAGCAAATCAAAACACACAAACATACACTTGTCGAGCAAAGACACGCCCGACGAAATGTTCCGGCGCAAGACCAAGAGCGTTGGCGCAGGAGGGAAGAAACGTCGCGAGGTCGACGTCGTGAACGACGTAGACGGTCCAACTGCATCGGTAGAGAAGGAGGATGGAGTTGCGGATGCTCTTACAGCGTCTGCTGCCGCTGAAATGGTCGAGCGCGACCTCCACGAGCTGGAGCAGCTGCGGGGGAGTCGTCGCTCTCGAACTGTCAAGAGCGTCATGACGTTCAGCTCCAAGAGCGTCAGTTCCAAGTCAAGTGGCAGCAGCAGCAGCTGGACGGACGGACTCTCAGCTAGGGCACAACAGTTGGAAGCATCGACGCGGCTGAGCTTCGAGGATGGAGACGAGACAGCTGCGTCGATGATGATGAAGAAGAGGAAGATGCGACCGAATGTCGTGGTGGCTGGTGTGGAAGACGTGGCCATGGAGACGGAGATGAGTGGTCGATATTCAGCTGAGATGATGGCAACTCTGAGGAGTGAGCAGAGCGTGCTGCTGTCGAGACATGCAGAGATGGACGTGATCTTGGAAGGGGAAGAAGAGAACGCAGAGACTGAAGCGAAAAGTGTGCAAGATGGACGTGAGGAAGAGGATGAGTTTATTGCTCTGGATGGAGATGCACAGATGAGACGTTCAAAGAACCGCGTGACGTTTAGTGCAGAGGTGCAAGACCCGAGTCGCTCTGAAGTAATGTACGAAGGATTGGATGAAGAAGGAGAGGAAGAAGAGGAACAAAACAGGAGATGGGAGGAAGAACTGATGCGTCGTGCTGGACATCGTGTGCCCAAGTCGTTGGATGACGTGAGAGGTAGTCGCTCGCGCGATGGGATGCCGACTTATCCGACGAGGAAAAAAAGTGACCTGTGTATCACTGGGAACTGTCCTTGGAAGATTGGAAAAGAGCACTGAGTCGACGTCGTTTGAACTTGAACGAGCTTCGCGCGACTTTGCGCGACTTGAAGCTGAGACGGCTTTAGTGGAGACTGCGTTAGTGCAGCAGCAAGAAGAGCTGCGTGTCAGTAGCGAAGAGTTTGAGTACTTCCAGGACGTGGAAGATTTTGTGAGAGGCCTGAGTTCTTGCTTGCGTGCAAAAGTGCCCGTCATTGAAGCAGCGCGGAATCAAGTCGTCCAAGATCGTGCTCGCCGGGTGAAAGATAAACAAAAAGAAGAGCAGTGCGACGTTGTCGAGGAGATGAAGTGGATTATCGGCTCTGGGAAGCTTGATGTGGGCGACATCATGGGGCTGAATCAGCTGAACTTGCAGTCCAGTAAAGATGTTAACGCTGCGTCACCTGAGCATACCGTTCGGTTCCGAAAGTACCAGGCGCACTTTATTGAGTCGTACGTGACGGAGGTACGTCCAGTGGAAGACGATTTGTTCGGTGATGCAATCGATGAGTTCAAGTCGCTCGAGCGTGTGTATGGACGGTTCCAAGAGTGGAAAGCAAAGTTCCCACAAGTCTACAAGGACGTTTTCTGTGAGTTGGCTCAAGAGAAGCTATTCGCCCCGTACGTGCAAGCAGAGTTGCTGTACTGGGATCCACTGGGTATGACAGACGCACAACCAGAGCTGGGGAAAGCGTGGTCTCTCGACGACTTGACTTGGTATCAAGTTTTACGCAAGCATCTGCCGAAGTCAAGCAACGACGATCGAAACAGTGGTGGCCACGTTGACAGTGTACTTCTGTATCAAATTCGTCACGTGCTACTAGAGAACGTTCGCGTGGCTGTGTCAAGCTATTACGATCCGTACTCGAGTCTACAAGTGCGGAGTTTGTCCCTTTTGCTGGAAGAAATCGATCGACAGGGCTATTCTGCAAACGTTGAGGGAGCACTTCAGATGTTGGTGAACACGGTGCTCGAGGCATTTGCAAGCGAAACGAAACGCACGGTGCTTGTCGCACTCGACCAAAACACAGCCATGTCCAGCGAAGACGTCATCGTATTTGCTCGTTACTTGCTGGAAAAGTTCGCCACGCTGCAAGACAATCTGCTCACTCTCTTCGTGGCTCTTCCTAGAGGACCCCTGGCTGCCAGTGCTTTTGGCTGTCTCCTCCAAGTCCTTCACCACCTCTTGGCGTATGTTCGACTTTGCCGAGAAAGACACAAGACACAACTAGTTGCGATGGCTACGCAAGTGATCCGACAGCTCTCTGGCTCGTCGTACGTGCTCCAGCTGCTATCGGACTCAAGCCAGGAACGCGAGCTCAGGCACATCTTGGACTTGTTTGACCCCTTCCTACAACCTACTGCTCCAGCAAGACTCCCATCAAGTTAATCCACACAACACAGGCATTAGGTTCATAACTTTGTTCTCTGTTGATATTGCGAGCCATTCTAGCGGCGACGACGCTCGGCATACTCGGCCTGGATCTCCTGGTTCGTCTTGCCTGCCGTCTCCGGCACGAGCTTGAGCGACAGGAGGTAGAAGACAGCGAGCACGACCGTGAACGGCGCGTAGCTCCAGTCGCCGAGACTGTCCGCCAAGTACGGGTACCCGATGCCCACCACGAGGTTACACAGCCAATTGGCGCCAATGCAGATGGACGAACCACTGGCACGCACCGAGTCCGGGAAAATGTCGGCGGTCATGACCCACACCAACGGACCGAGCGTGACGCCAAAGACAATGACGTACAGAGCCGTAAAGACGATCGAAAGCGCCGATATGTCCACGACGAACGCCACTGTCATGCCCATGGACATGACGACCATGCCAATGATGCCCCAGAGGATCATGCTGCGGTTGCCGAAGCGAGCCGTGAGCATGCCCGTGAAGAAAGCAGGCCAGATGTTGATGAAGTCGATGATGAGCGTGCCCACGCGCGAGTCCGAAATGCCCGCGTCCGAGAAGATGCTGCTCGAGTAGTAGAACACGGCGTTGATGCCCGAGAGCTGCTGCGTGCACGACAACAGGAGCGCGCCGAGGAACTGCATGCGGTACTTGGGCGACCACACGGACTCGACGGGCTCGGCGACGTGGCCGCCCGCCTCGGCGACGCTCGACTGTTTCTTGGGCTCGAGCCAATTGAGCGCCGTCTGCACGTGCTCCTCGCCATAGAGACGCGTGATGACCTGTCGAGCCTCTTCGCGACGCCCTTTCATGAGGAGCCACGCCGGACTCTCGACGGCCAGAGACGGCGACAAGAGCATGTAGATACCGGCCAGCACGACAGGGAAGCCCGCCATGTAGCGCCAGCCGTCGCCACGGTCGGCAAAGAAGAAGCAAATGGCCGGGACCAAGATACCGATCGTCGTGGAGATCTGCAGCCCCGTGCCGAGGTGGCTGCGCAGATGCGGCGGCGACAGCTCGTTCACGTACGAGCCAATGGTGCCCGTGGCCACGCCCGACGCGATGCCGGCAATGAAGCGACCGACGGCAAAGAGCCAAATGCCCGAGGAGAAGGCCTGGATGACGGCGCTGCCAATCATGAAGACGCAGTTGAAGAAGAGCAGTTTCTTGCGCCCGAGCATGTCGCTGAAGTGGCCGCTCAAGAGGCTCCCGACCATGGCGCCGAAGATCCACGCGTTGACGGCGAACGTCCACTCGAGCTTGGAGTGGCCGCTGAAGAGCGTGCACGTGCCTGGGACGACGGGCCGCGCGTTGCACTCGTCCGTGTTGTTGTAGTCCGAGAGGTTGAGCTGCGACGTGGACCAGCCGCTCTGGAACGGCTGCAGGAGTGCGAGCAGCACGCTCGTGTAGAGGATGCGGTTGGGCTTGATCCGGAGGGCTGCGCTCTTGTTGATGTCGTCGTAAGAGACGTCTGGGTTGGGCGACTTGCCGTAGCCATCTTCTCCGTGTGGCGTCATGGCTGGGATTGGAAGTGGGTAAACGGTGGGGGGGGGGAGGGAGGGAGAGTGGGGGAGGAGGAGGAAATGCACTTGTGAGGGAGGGAGCTGGGGAAACGACAAGTGAAGGTCGAGGGGATCTGATGCAGTGAACGGGTGGTGGCGATGCAACTTCAAGGCAGTTGCTGGCAGATTACGCGGAGAATTAGAAACCAGGTGTGGACCGCTCACGACGTTGGCTCTTTAAACTTTATATTTCCAGTGTCTCTTTCTTGATTGATAGGGCTGCCGGTGTTCCGTCAGTCCCTCCTGCTCGTCTTGGGCTGCGTGTGACTTGGGCTTGCACAGATAAAGACCGCACCAAGCAGCAACAGCAGCAACGTTCGAAGCTGAAGCAGTCCTGCCTTCAACTTTTGCACGGAAAGGCAGTCGTAGTAACGCTGTCACTTGGAGTTTGTCGGTGCCGAATAAATCTACTTTGGCCCGTCTTTGTCGGTCTGCAAGACGGACGCCTTCGCCTGGTTGGCCGCGTCCGGACTTCCCGTGCGCAGAAAAGACCCACGTTGAAGTATCAGACTGCGTCTGTTACGGAGATTAGGGATCCACATGCAGGTACCAGAGAAGAGCCTGTTGACGCCGGTGATCTCTTTCCGACAAGCGCCTTTCTGAGTCTTCTGCGAGCGTCTGCTCTATTGCAGCCACGTCCATGGACCGCAGGTGCCGACTGGGCGTCTGCTGCAGCACAAAGATGCAACGGTAGATTCGGTTTTGGGTCCGGCAATGTCGCACACGTACTTCACAGCCACACGCGTGACATGCAAGTGGGTCCAGTGCACGTTGCATGTGACTTCATCCCGTCCACTGACTACCAACCTAGCCGCAGGTCCTGCTTGCTGCCACCAAGACGTCGTATGTACGTGGACACAGACAAGCACTTGAAGGTTGACAGAAGAGCGTGGAAGCGCAAGGAGTTCGACTGCCGCACCAAACATTCGATCGATCGATCGATCGATCGACAGAAACAAGTGTCCGTAGTAGAAATGAGCCAACTGGCGCTATTATCAGTCGCCGGGACCGGACGCGAATCACCCGAACTGCACTTGGATCAGTCGGCTCCTGTCACGGCCACCCCACCCCGTCTATGTGAAATAAATCAAATAGACAAACTCGCTGAATGCATTGGCCACTAAAACCCAACTGCAACATCGCGTACAGAAACAGAGCAGACACTTGCTGTGAGAGCGTACGGTGGTCCGACTATCTTCCCAAGCACCAAAAAAGCGGTAATTGCACGGACTCTATAGCGACGTCACGACGTTTACCACAGCAAGTTCAACAAGTGCAACCACCACTATAACTACAACAACTATAACAACCACAACAACTATAACCACAACTATAACACAACAACTATAACAACAACAACTATAACAACATCAATAGTAGGAAAAGAGACGAAACCGCGCGGTCACTCACTGCTCCCTTTCCTCAGTTTCCAATCGGACAAGTACCGCACAAGTCCATTCCCTCTACCTTGCCGTCCACCGTCCACTACTTGCACTAGTCATGACGTCGTACTCCGACGACGCCTACAGCAAGGTCACAACGCCCAACCCAGACGTCTCTTTCGACGACATCAACAAGAGCGCAGCCCTCCGGATCAAGCCCAACCGCATCCTCTACACGAGCGTGCTGCTCGCACTCCTGCAGCCGTTCCAGAGCGGCTGGTCCACGTCGCAGCTCAACCTCTCGGACTACAACAACACGGACGAGTGCAACGCGCGGCCCGTCGTCCCAGGCACGTGCACGCTCTTCAGCGGCCACTCCAAGCTCGAGTGGACGTTCGCCGTCAACGCGTGGATCTTCGGCGCCATGGTCGGGAGTCTCTTGAGCGGCCACTTCAGTGACATGCTCGGGCGCAAGAAACTGCTCTTTTTCAACTGCGTCTTCATGATTGGCAGCGCCGTCATCCAGGCCTTTTCCTCGGGCATTTGGCTCTTTGCCGTCGGTCGCTTCATTGCCGGCATCGCGTCGGGCGTGGCCACGGGCACCATTGGCTCGTACGTGAACGAGCTGTCGCCGCCGCATCTGCGCAGCCATCTCGGCACGGGGCTGCAGATCTCCACGACGATCGGTATCTTGGTCCCGGCCATTTGCTTCTTCTTTGCCGACCGTGGCGACGGCTGGCGCTACATGGCGGGCTTCCCTGTCGTGCTGGCCGGTATCTACATGCTCTTGTCGCCGTCTCTGGCCGTCGAGAGTCCGGCGTGGCTCCTCATGAAAGGGCGTCGCGAAGAGGCTCGACAGGTCATCACGCGTCTCTATGGCGAGGAGCACGTGCAGACGGCGCTCAATTGGCTCGAGCCCAAGAAACAGTCGAGCGTCGCCGAGGCGGGCGGCCACGTCGCCGAGCCCGTCGAGTCCGTGTGGTCGCCCAAGTACCGCATGCAGTTCCTCGGCGCGCTCCTGTTGTCGTGCACGCAGCAGCTCTCGGGCATCAACGCCGTGTTCTACTACTCGAGCAGCATCTTCTCGGACGCGGGCATTTCGGACTCGCGCGTGGGCACGCTCATCATCGACTTCATCAACATCTGGCCTGCTTTCTTCACGGGCATGCTCACGGCTCGCTTCGGCAACCGCAGCATGATCCTCTGGGGCATCATTGGCATGGTCGTCATGTCCATGGGCATGACGGTGGCGTTCGTCGTGGACATATCGGCGCTTTCGATCGTCTTTACGGCTCTGTACGTCATTGTCTTTGGCGTCACGCTCGGTCCGTTGGTGTGGGTCATGACCGCCGACATCTTCCCGGACTCGGTGCGTGCCAGCGGTTCGTCCATCTGCATTGGCGCCAATTGGCTGTGTAACCTCGTGGTGGGCATCGGGTACCCGTACTTGGCGGACAGTCTCGGCGACTGGAGCTACGCGCCGTTCACGGTCGTGCTCGCTGTCTTCTACCTCCTGTCGCTCAAGCTCGTGCCGGAGACGGCAGGCAAGACGAACCAGGAGATCCAGGCCGAGTATGCCGAGCGTCGTCGCCGCTAGATTGGTTTGAATTTGTACAACCTCAAGTGAGGATAAAAGATCCTTTCATTTTTTCTGTAAAACCGGCTGTTCGTTTTGAATAATTGACTGGGGTCGCTGAATCGTCGAAGTGTGTAATTTATCCAGGATGTTCCACGTGGTGAGTCACGCTGGACTCGACAAGACTGGCGAAATAGCTATTCTTTTGTAGAATGTCAAGGAAGTGTTCGGAATATCACTGATCAGAATCAGCTTTTGACAAGACGAGGAGGCGATTGCGAAGGGGTTGCCGAGGTTACGACTTTGGGCGATCTGAGTCTGATCATCCGCGCACGCATCGACTAAAACACACTGTTGTCCTAGCGAAAGCCCACGTTGCATCATAGTTGAACATGTACGACTACGTGGTGATCAGTATACCGTAGTCAGATATGTCCGTGGTTATAAAGCTCTGTCACACGCGACTATTTGCATGTGTACGTGCCTGCACACACTACACGCTATGGTCCTCGCAATAGTCTCATGATGCAAGTAAAGCTGACTTGTCCCGTCCACTCCATCATTCATCTCGACAAGTAATGGAGCTAATGGCCGAGAATGACTGGATCGCACAGGATCTTGTCATGGTTATCATCTGCTGCTTTGGCATGCTGAATGGTGTGCGCTCGGATATAAGTCTAACTCTGACTTCAGATCTTTTTCAACGACCTGTCTAGCGCCCACGATTCTTTCACATCCCCACTTATGTATACTCTTTGGCATGAAAACCTTTGGTAGGAGAGGTAGAGGAGAACAAACCGACACGTCTCAGAGTAGTGCAGCTAATATTCGTATCGTGCAGGCGACAAAACATCTCGAAGTCAAGTGTGAGAGCAAACTTGCGATGCTAATTATAGTCCGTGGCGTTTGGTCGATTGTAAATTAAGGAAAGCTTGTCACTCATAGAGGTTGTGTGTGCTGCACAATTTGTACGACGATAATCGAGACTTTCGAGACCAGCGAATTAATGACATGATACCGGCGAATTACCAGCATTCAAAGTAATCGAGCCCTAATAAGTGTCTAAACGGAAATAAAATAATGGAGCTGGTCGGCGACGAACGAGTCGTTAGTGGCACAGTGATACGCGCGTATCCATTGCAGTCGCTGCGTGGCGATACATCTCTAAGCAGTACAGGATCAGGCACATTCGGTCCTGGTGTTGGGCCGTGCGGACAGGATGCGGCGTCACAAATGATGGCAGTCGTTGTGGAGAACCATATCCTTTTCACATTGATCATGGCGAGTGCTGCCCTTATATAAGAGTACTTAGCTCCATCGGTTATTTTTACGTGCTTGAAAGTTTTCCTTGACTTGTTGTTTTATTGATGATAACCACAAACACGCACGACGTTCAAGACGTGTCTTGTATTTTTCTATGACAAATGGGCGACCAAGATGCAGTTCCTCAAGCATCATGCAAGTGTTCACGTGACATTCCATTGGCAGTTATTGGACTATGACTTGTTGATAGAGGAGCGTATCATGAGTCAATTGATTGTTTTGTGTCCATTGTCCCGCACGTGTGCAGTACAAAGTTCAACTTCGTGGACATGGACTTGTGGCACTGGAGTGGGAGGCTGGCGTGGAGACGGAAGAGCGTGTGCAATGCCTCGTGGTTGCTGAAAAGAGTGTGTTGAACAAGACGCTGGATCAACGACCGCAGCTGTTTACACTTCCACAAACAGTGGACGTTGAAGTGACGTTCGAAGAGCCTCAACGTCTGCCAAATTCGGATCAGCTGCGTTATCTTTTGCCCAAAACGATAGCCACTCGAGACTTGCACACGGGTTCGTAACTTGAGACGTCGACAGGCATGTCGGATCATGAAATCAAGTTGAAGCAGACGCTGACGCGATACGGTTGTGATACAGGAACACCCTCGGAACAAATGCTCACTCCAAGCCAGACGCGACCGAAACAGGTATGTGCAGTCGAGGGCAGTCTCAGCTTTTCAGTGATTGATTCACGAGATCACGTACGTCGTGTGCAATGAATAGAAGCACAACCGCGGAAAACGTACGCTTGATGAAGCTAAAGCAACATCACCAGCGTACCGGTACTCGTCGTTGGCTGGCTTGGTATCTGGGTACGCTGACATTTACGGCGTCGTCGTAAACGTAACGCTTCCCAAGAAAAGTGGTGGGCGCGATTTTGTCGTGAGTATCTCTGTTTGGCTAGAGGTGGCAACGTTGCCAAGTTGATGTCATGCGTGTTGAGATATCACCGCTAACGCCGGATTCATCCACAACGCAGATGACTGTGAGCGTGATGGACGAGAGCTGTCCTACACGCGCTGAAGCTATGCAGATAAATGTCTTCTGGCCAACAATTGCTCAGATGCCTAAAATCAAGGTACGGCAACATCGTGAATGCGTCACGGTCGCTGTAGATGACAAAGCCAGTTGTATTGTGCTCTTGCCGTAGTATGTCGGGGACATCATCCGTTTCCACAAGGTCAAAATTCAAGAGTACCAAGGCCGTAAACAAGGTCTCAGTGTGTGAGTATATCATTCTTGTGAACAGTTTTGGCAGAGCTCGCCTGCAATAATGCACCACGCTGCATTTGACTCTGCAGACCACGCGTAACACGGTATCTTGTTCTTCGAGAGACGGCTGATCAGACACTTGAGCAGCTGACTTGCTCGGAGACATGGACTTTTGAGCCTTCTGACGAAGTTCGTACCCACCAGCTGATGTAAGTTCGTCTTGAGGCTGCCTGCATTCTTCAGGATACGATAGAATTGATCCAGCTTTGATGTTGCACTCGAACAGCAAATGGGCGAAGAAGAGTTTAGGCGAGGACACAACTTTGCCTCCAGGATGCAAAGAGGCACCAAAGCTGCTGTCCGACCTAAAACATGCGAAGGACTTTATTGACCTGGTTGTGCGCGTGTTGCACCTGGATGACACAACGGAGCCAATTCGACTGATTGTGTGGGACGGTTCAGGCGACGTGGCTGAATCGGATCCGACTCTCGTTCGTGCATTGCGGGACAACGGCACTGCTGTGCCAGCCAACGGAACCTTGAAGGAAGTGATTATGTCGTCTTGCTGGTCTGTCCTGCGTGATATCGGATTTGACGACGGAATGCTCACGCACTGGTGTCGCTTCCGCAATCTAGCAGTCGGAACCGATGAACCCATTCCCGGGGCTGCCACCACGATAGGGAGAACGGAAGTGCTGCGGTTTCGAGAGGTGACGTCTCTTGTGCTGCTACCTGAGTTCGTGCCTGACATCCAATACCGCCTGTCATTAGCAACTAAGCTCGACACAGGCGCAAAAGTTCGAGGTTGCCAATCTCACATGCTTGGCCCTGGCGAGCGACGACTCTCCAATGAAAGCCAAAGCTTCGCCGTGGATAGTCCTGTCGATGTTACTACGGTGATCCCTGACTACATTCAGAAAAACGTTCCGACAACTTCAGTGCGTGAGATCATCCGCTCGCCACAAACCCCGCGGAAGTTTCATTGCTGTGCTCGTGCTCGCGGCATTTGGCCATCCGACATCGAAAAGATCTGCAAACCCAACCCTGGCAAAGATGGCGAGTTCATTTATTCGTTCGCTCTGACGATCCAAGAAGGAGATGATTCCTTGAACGTAATCGTGTACGGCGCAGACGCAGTAAGTGGATGCCTCCATTCATTAGTGAAGCAGAACCTACATAGCTAATCCTTTTCTTCTCACAGGAACACTTCCTGCACGGCATCCCCCCATGTGATCTCAACCAAAGCACCGCCTCCAAGACATTGTTAACAAAGCGGCTGGCTGCGCTCTTGCAGGCCCCCCAGGCCTTCCACTGGTGCATCAAGTCATATTCAGTATCGTTGCCACCTGACACGAAACACTCTCTCGGCCCGACAACTGCAGTCCGATATCGCTTATTCAACACAATGCTTCAATGCTTGTAAGTCACATATAGCTGACAGCGGCCAGTGTCGCTAACATAATTGTTTCAACGTCTGTCAAGAAAGAAGTGTTTCCTGCCTGCGTGGCATAATTGGTATCCATTATCATAATGCAAAATAAACGAACATGTAGTTGTCACCTCTATCATGGGGATCCAACGCTTGAAGCGGAAATGCTGTCAACAGAGTAACGCTTCATACCCTCCAGATCCAACTCGCCGATCCGACCTTGCTGATGGAGCTACACAACAAAGACGTGAGAATATTGGTCGAGTAACAAACAAAGCATCAACACAAAAATGGTCTACCTTTTCCAGCCAGTAAAACTCGTTGTCCTGAGGCATATAGCCAGACATAGGTCCGCCACCCATTGCGCTGTGAATTGCTTGAGACTGCATAAGCTGCTGCGACATTGACAGCGTGGGGCTACTGTACATCATCGTGTCACCCATCCGCATCGACTTCTCCATTTCTTCCTCCTTCAACTTGCCCAGGCGATGCATGAGCGCCTCACCTTCGCGATCGCCAACCCACTTCGGGTGGTTCTGCTTGAAATTAATGAACGAACTTTCCATCTTAGCATCATTGCCATATTCTTTGAAGTCAAATTCTGCGAACCGACACACAGCTCGGGTACTAGGGTGTACTAGAGAGTGCGATCGCAAGAAGAGCAGGATCTCCCGAGCGAGCCGCGGCAGTGACACACACAAGATGTACGGAGCCAAAAAGACGGAAACAACCTCTTCAGCAAAGAGCACAGCTTTGAAAGGAAACAGCACAGTGAACGCGTCCCGCACCTCGAACGAGTGACACTGGCCTCTCCACTCCTTTGGAAAGTAGTGTGTCTCCGCGGAAACTTGCACCATTGCTTCCTCGCAGTCACCGTTTACCAGAAAGGGAGAAGCTGAAGACGTGAACGATCGTGATAACGCAAAGACGCCTGCTGAGACCGTCAGGTACCACAACAGTTCGTGGCCAAACAGTGTTGTTTGCAGCAGCACAGATTCTTCCAAAAGACTCACAAGAAGGAGAACGGCCATTATCGAGCTTGCGCAAAAAGAGATGCCTCCAGCAATTATAGCTAACGAGCCAGCCGGGAACATACCCAAGTAACGGTCCGCCAGCGCATACGAACGTGCCATCCGAGCATCAAGGACATGCGGGAGTTCATTGTACTCTCGAAACCGCCAGATAGCATACGTTGACCAGCGACGAGTGCCAAAGTAGTACACACGGTTTGTCTGCCACTCTTGAGCCGCCAAGAAGAAAAAACGCGAAAGACGGTACAACAAGATGAACGGCGCCAACACGAAGTTGAGCACTCCTGCAATCACAAAGCGTTTCTTGAGCATCTCCGCATTGTGGATCACTGATGGAGCCAAGTTCAGCTCCGCGTCAAACATTTGATCGAGCAGACAAATGTTCAGATTGGCCTCCATGTTTCTCGAGCACATGATGTGAGACGTCGAAAGAAATTGCAGCGACGTTGGCAGTAACTTCTTGCTCTCAAAAAGCGAGTGATTCATGATCGCAATAAGGTAGTTGTCCCGCCGCATAATCCGTCTCGCAAAGTCGTGTGGTGACGACAGCAGCGCCGGGTCAATCTGCAGCTTGTACGACGAGAGCTGTCGCATGTTCACAGGGTCGTTCGCTCCCTGGACCAGATGCAGGACTCTCGTTACCACTTCGTCCCACGCAACAGTCTGCACCTGTCTCTCATGAATACCCAGTCGCTCTTTGTAAAACGTCTCCATCTCTTTCGTATCTCGCAACGTTCCAACGAGCTGGAAAAGTCGCGACACCCAGTACAAAAGGAACATGGCAAAGTAAAAGGTCCCAATGAGCCCAAGCAGACCATTCGTGTCAGCTCGACACGAAACGTAATGCTCCATGTCCTGAGCACAACCTCGTCGCTCCGGGTGTCGATGGCATTCCAGCAACGGTTTCCACTGCACACAACTGAGCAAAAACTCGAGAGCACGACACTCAAGAGGCCTGTCGTCAGACTCACTAGTTCCACGACCACAATGCTCCAAAAGCCTTTGTGGTAGTAGTAATTGTACAACGTGATGAGGAACGCATCGAGATTTGCCACGCGACCGTAGCGATCAGGCACGGGCGACACTCGCCCAGCAGCAGCAGCAGTAGCAGTAGCAGTAGCAGTAGCAGCAGCAGCTTCTCTTTGTCCAGTAGCTCGACGTTGCGCACCTGGCAGCGCGCCCTTGAGAGTGTCCAGGACGTCACGGAAGAGCGTCGAGATGGCAGGAAGGTGCACGTTTACACGCAGCGACGGCAGCGGCGCGGCCCCTGGAGACGAGCCACTTGCACGAGCACTTGATACAGGGACTTGGTGACTGGGTCCACTGAACGAGGGCGCGCGGTCGTCGTCTTTGAGCTCGTTCCAGAGCAATTCATCTTCCTCTTCGGCGTTCCGGGTACAGCGGTCCTCGTTATCAGCCAGTAGCGACTCGTCCATGGCGAGCGAGAGGACAGTATGGGTCTAGATGGAAAGAGGAAGAGCTGGAGCACAAGTGACAACTGTTCGTGGGGGGAGGAGGACCGCAGGGACGCGGCAGGAAGGCGTTGAGAGAGGACAGATCGCGACGATGGGCCGACGACGTTGTGCGTGCTGTTTCTCTCGCTCTCGGATGAGTCGATGCGAACTTAGCTGAGGGGTCGTGCGTACTTCTCGTTATGTTCACTGGCATAGGAGCAATGATTGTAGATAGTTTCGGATGTTTTTACACGGATCCGCGGCTTGCGGATCATTTTCCTTACTTTTTGCTACCACGTCATTTACGGCGCAATACTTTTGTCCCTTATTGTGTCCGGAATGACAAATCTAGCATGGGTCCTGCCCGACGCTATTCAACCGCAACTACATGTTTGCATCGGTGAAACGTACCAATGGAAGTAGACTGGCCTCAATTGCTGTAGAACAGACTCTTCCTTATTGCCAGATCACGTGCATACCATAAACACTCGCTCTCGCTCCGATGGCTTCCCCCGTTATCGTCACGTTCCACTCGACGGTCATCCTCTATATCCTCATCATTTCAGCGTCCGACCTGCAGCTTTTCGGAGACCGTCACTTCAGCCAGCACTCTTTGAACAACGTGTCCTCCGTACACGGCACTTCGGCTACCCTAGCACTGGGCGGCCAACAATGCATTCTTCAATATGCTCATCATTGAGTCACGTAATCATCCCATGGGTCGGGCAATGAGTCCGCGCACTGGACGAAAACCTGGTCCTCGCGGCCGTGTTTCCTCGCTGCAGCATCCAGAGATTCTGACCAGAGAGAAGCACAAGACGAAATTATTCAGCTATGACCTTAGCAGTGTCCAGTTCGTTTGCCGAGTTGGCAGAAACGCCAACGGTACAGCTCAATGATTACCATCGTTTGGCATGCACAGCACCGATGAGGAAAAGGCTGGACTATGCTGCGTCATTCTTGGAACCATCGAGCATCGACTTTTCCGGTCCTGGCTTCATCACTTCATCGAGCAAGTCAGTCAGCTGCTGCTCCAGCACCTTCTGTCGGAACTGTTTCGAATACCAAATGGCTTTCTCGACGTATGTCTTCACTGCGACAGGTCCGCCCTTCATGGAGCGCAGACCACTCACAATAAACTCCTTCTCCTGTACAAACGAGACGAAGGCACTGGATTAGGTAAAACAGCGCGAAGAGTTACTTGCAACGAATAATCGTACCTGTTGCGTGGTCGAGCGAGCCTTGATGAGACGGATGACGGTACTCCATGACTCCCAATTCTCTGCCAAGACGCCATAGACCAGCCGGACAAAGCTGCTGCTTCTCTCGTCCTCCACAAAGTCGCCGTCGTGGAGAGGGATGCCCAGCATCTGGGCCGCCTCGGCCTTCACAGAGTAGTTTGATCCCACCGAGCTGTCGGTCATCACCGAGTCACTACCGTCACTCCGGCCCGGCGACGAAACAGTCGATGAAGTGCTCGAAACAGGAGAGCTTGGTGAGTGGGAAGGTGAGCCCGGCGACGAATTAAAAGATGGCGAACCATGCATACGGTGGGAGCGTTTCGAGTGCTTTTTGTCCCGTTTCAGCTGAGATGATCGCTTGCGCGTACGCTGGCGCTTCGACGAATGGCCTCCGAGTGTTGCGGCCTCGTCTGCAGCTTCATTTTGATACACGTTGCTTGCCTTGGATGAACTCTTTTTGTATGGGTTACCAAGATTGAAAGACAACTGGCGTCGGCGCAGCCCACTTGGGGTATCCTCGTCCGGTTCAGCTTCCGCGAGTGGATTGCGAAGTGCCTCCTTCTTGATCAATCGCGCTTCATAGTCACTCATAACATCAATGGGCTGGCGATGCTTTTCATCCTCCTCTGCAGCACGCCAACCGGGCGCTAGCTTCAATGGCACCTTCGTATCCGTTGCGCGCGGCAAAGCTATCTGAAACTGTCGCTTCGAGGACTGCACAAAGAAAAGTGCTTTGCTTTTCTGATAAGCAGCACGCACTTCTTGAAGCGACATGCTCGCAATGGCGTCCAAATTCGTACCATCGTGGCTTGTCGCACCAAAGTCTCTGCAAGCAACGGGCGATACAGATTGAGACGATTCGGGGATGCCACTACTTCGCAAACCTGACGCAGAGCTGGCAAGATCGCTCCGACTTGCCCGCGAAAACAGTTTGTTGTTGCTATCGCTCTCTGCAATTGCTTGCTCTCGCAGGCGATTCAGAAAATTCGAGATCTGGTAGCTTCGTCCTGAATCCTGGACCTCTGGCACCATGTCGTGCAGGTTGTACTTGCGCAATGCTTTTTCAGCGGAGCATAGTAGTAGATCGGGCATCCATTCAAGTATGACGAGAACGATTCGCGCCACGACGATGGCATGGCCTTGGCTTGAAACATCCACGTACTCGACGCTGAATTGATGTTCTGGCCGCTCGCTTGGTACACTCGAGCAACTTCCACAAGGAGCGAGAAGAGTTTGGGGAAGTTGTACGGCAGCAGCACGAGCACCGCATTCAAAGACGGAGTCCCAGGACTCGAGCTAGGTGCACGAAGTATGCCAATAGGGTCTCCAAGTCGTCCATCTCCTTTGCTGCCTTGAACGTAAACCAGCCATCGCTGCCCGCGACTCGGGGTCGGACTAATCGACGTCTCGAGCATGTAGCTGTCCGCCGGGAACTTGAGTGTATCGAGCAACATATGACTCGTTGCTGCCTCGATAGCGGTCTCCACTGTTCTAGAATACACTAGCGTCGGATGTGCATCTCTTGTTGGCAACGCGGCCGTGTTGCGATCCAGCCAAAAAGCTTCCGCGATCGGCCAGGAGAACTCCTTGGCACTTGGAATCGGTGCAATGATGTTCTTCGTCATGGGGAACTCTGCTTCGCCGTCCATGTTCTCACACTTGAGTTTCACCATAGCTCCCGCTTTCAGCTTCAGAATGATCTGGTCAATGCTCTGCTCGACTGCGGATTTCGACGTCGGCAGATACAGCATGCCACCAGTCGCTTCACTCAGTGCCATCAAGTCGACGGGCACCGTAGGTTGTCCTTTCATCGTGGCCGAGAGCTTGAGAGCGACTGTAAACAGCCGCTGGTCCCATCGAAACGGCTCGAACGTGAGCTCTGCGCCCACGGCGTGAGACGGCGCAATCACCAGCGCGTCTTGCACGAGCCCATCAGCATCCGACAGCATCGTCGCGTCTGTGAGGAGCACACACACCGACACATTCGTGTTCCATGGCGTGCGGCCGAGCGCGTAGCTGTCCCAATTAAACTGCAGCCGGATCTGGTTCATGAGCTCGAACGCCTGCTTCAGAGCTGCGCCCACGTCGCTCAAGTCAATGGCCCGCAGGTTCTTGAGTTCCCGTAGAAACACTTCCTTGTTCGTGGATTGGTCCCAGCCCACGCGCACGCGGCCGCTGTAGTCGGGTTGTTTTATCTTGCTTTTTGTATACCGACGATCGCGTCCGCATGTCGAGAGCAGCATAAAGTGGTGCTGGTAGCGTCGACTGGGATCCCGCACGCGCTTCACGAAGCGCTCGACGGCCGACTTGGCGTAGTCCAGTAGCGTCATGCCGGAGCTCGTGCTCTGGTTCATGGACGCGCTCGTGTCGACGACAAACGTCACGAGCATCTTCTCGCCGCGGCTACAGAGCGCTCTCACGTGTACGGAATACAGGCCGTGGTGATGGATGCTGTCGCTTTATCCGGATAAAACGAACATCGAGATGTTTTGAGAAGGCGAGAGCAATCAAGACGGCTCGCATGTAAGTAGTAATTTAGTTTGTTTCTGTAGCCACAACATGAGGTTTCAGTTATGCTTTTGGTGGTGGGTTGTTGTTGTTGTTGTTGTTGTTACGAGCGGAACTTGCGCTTCTTGAGGGAACGCGCGATGACGGCGGGAGCGGTGATGGTCTCGGCGTTGCGTCCTTTCCACTGCACAAACTCCTTGGCATCCCGACTACCAGCGTCGAACAGCTTCTGTTCGTCCTGCGTGAGTTTCCTCGTGAACTCGGTCGTATCCTCGTTGAGCGAGCTCATGGCGTGATTGAGGATGGCGCAGTAGCGCTCGCCACCGAAGCAGAGCCGCAGGATCTCGTCCATCTCGGCTCGCTCGTCTTCGTTCACACATGGCATGAGGGAACTTCCCACTTGGAGCAGATGGGTGGAAAACTCGCGTAAATTCACCGAGGAAGGACCGGCCTGGAGCATGCGTCGGAAGCGTTTGGTCAGGAAATGGGGCGGCTCGACGGTCACGTCACCGCGTCTGGCGAGCGTCGTGACGAGCCAAAGTGGCAGCTCTACTGAAGCGCCCTTTGGCAAGCCCGCGCTGTTGCAACTAGGGTCCAAGTACCCGCAGTCCAGCGCATCTGTCTCGAACGAGCATTTGATGCGCTCGTCACCGGCCAAAATATCGTCAATGTCCAGGTACCCGCTGCTCATGCGGAGGATCGAAAGTGCCACTTTTGATTGGAAGACGCGGTCATCTGAGTCTTAGAAAAACGCTGCTTATGTCACAGTACTTCTAAAAAGCAGGATAAGAACTTGCAGTCTGTCCGAGATCGGCTTTTGGCCCGTCTTTTCGGTTTAGATGGCAGGCTACAACGAGTTTTCTAGGTTCTATCCTCCACTTTTTGTAGGAGCAAGTTTGTTTTGGGTAGACGGTAACAATGAGCTGCCGCGGTGTACTGACATTCCAACACGTTCATCCTTTGCAGGACTGTGGCGATTGCTTACCTACAGCTCACCACGAAAGCACATCACGGAGCTCAAGGGATCAACTGTAAATCGATCGAGTCACTCCGAGTCTGTGCCGGTATCGTCGTCGTCAATCTTGCCAACTACTGGTACTGTCTCGACCTTGAGGTTGTTGATCTTGTCACCGGCCGTCGTGACTGCCACCTTCTCTCCCGTTTTCGTCACACGCATCACCTTTGAACGGTCGTGCAGCTTCATCATTATCATCGCATCACCGTTGAACGATTGTGCGGCTTCAATGTTACCGTCGCTCGAGTCCAGAGCTCCGATCATGCTCCTTATCTTTTCCCACCGACGACGAGCGTTCTCTGCCGTGACCGTCGCTTCCGCTTCATCTAGATCGCCGTCCCCAGTGTCTTCTTTTTTCAGGCTTTCTTCATCAGAGGAACTGCCAATCACAACGATGTCAACTGAGGCGGGGCGTCTAGAATGGCTCTGTAAAGTCTCGCTTGCAAATGCAACCGCACGTCTTGCTTGTGCTCGTGGACGCGCATTTGTCTCGACTATTGGCAGTGGTGAAGCAGCTGTCTGCGTTTGTGCTGCTGGTGGCTCAGTGGACGCCGGCAGAAGGGCACGTCCACGAGAGCCTCGGTTGGGCATGATGTGAACTGCTCGACAAATCACGTCCTTGCGCTCGTTCGTCACGTAGAAGCGCACTTCACCAGGCTCAGCAACAACGTTTTCTCCAAGCAAGCGCAAATTGTTCAACACGAACTCAAGCTTGCGCTGAAGGGCAGTTTGCTTGTTGCCTTTTGCAGCTTTCCGAGCGTCATCTGTGCTCGTCCGGTGTCGCTTACGCTTTTTACTTGGAGCAACGAACATCGTCCCTGCTCCAGTGTTCGACTTTTTCGGTGAAGCCCAGAGCGAGTCGTTCCCGCGTACTCGTGGTCGATTCGTAGAAGCTCGTGCTTCTAAATTGGCCTCGTTCAAGTCGGTCTCACTGGCCTCTGTCTCATACGGTCGATAGATTAGGCTCTCTACACTGCCTCGCATCCACAATTGTTCCACCACGACGGCTCGACTCGCACCCATTCGATGAGCCCGGCTTATAACCTGCTGCTCCAGTGATTTATCCCAGATCTCGTCCATCAGAAAAATGTGCGTAACGAAAGAAAGGTCCAAGCCATGCGAGCCAACCTCTGTCAGCAGCAGGACATTCACATCGGGATCCTCGCGAAAGCGCAGGAGATGCGCCATTCGTAGTTCTGGGCTCCGTCCGGCGATAAAGTCAGCTGTGGGCACGCCCTGCTGAGCAAATGCAACCTTAGTATGCCAAATATGCTCCTTGAACTGGGAAAAAATGATTGCCTTGAGATGACGTGCTTGATGTCGCGGAGAACGCCCGTTTGGAGCTACGGCGCCGTATAGAAGCTCTTTCTTTAGCTCCTTGATTCTGGTTGCAGCATAGAATGCTTTGCTGGCGTCGATGAAATGAATGTCACGAGTATAATCGATTGCACGCCGAGGCTCTCGTGGACCATTTGGACCATTCACCTCCGGACCGCGTCGGGTTCGACCATGCCTCCGAGATCTTTGTCCTTCCCTATTGAGCAGCTGATCTTGATTTACGAGCTGCTGCACCTCATTGACATGCCCTCCATGGCGATCATTTTGAGTTGAGTTGAAGTTAACATTCACTAACGCCACATCTTCCACCATTTCAAACTCAAAGCCAGGCTGAAGTCGTTGGAAAGCTTCCCGATCAAACACTGCATTGCAGCGAAAACATCTGGGACCGACTCGTCGCATCCGATCTTCGACACAGTCTGCGCAGCACAAATGCCCACATGGGATAATCATAAGTAGCTGCAGCTTGCGTCTGCAACATTCACACTCCGTGACTACCCCTTGTAGTTGCACTCTGCGAAGGTACTCGAGTACAATTGCCACATTGTCACCGTCAACTTCGAGTGCACTAAGCATATTGATCGTGTCCAATCGAGAAGCCTCAGCTAGCGAAACTTTGACAGCAGACCCACCACAACATGCTGACCGAAGATTAGAAACAACACGCAACGCCTCTTTTCGATTAACTGGATTCAAAAGGCTATCCGGATGCTGACAGCCAGGAGTCTTGGGGTCCATATTCGTAATAACCAAGTTAGCACGGACAGCTGCGGCAACTCCGTTATATTGCGCGTACTCGGTTGGCGTAGGATCAATAAACACAGTACGTCGGATTGGTTCCGGCAATATCTGACGAATCGACTCTTTTGTGTGCCGCATCATGATTCGACTAAGAAGGTGCTGCAAGCGATAAAACCCGATGAGCTCATTGCGTTCAAACGGACGAGCAATCGCCTTCGCCCACGCCTGTCCGTCTTGACTCCCATAAGGCAGATTTCGAAGGAACACTAACAGACCATGCAAATAGCGGAGGTCCGCTGATTGGAGGGTGTTTGGCGTCGGCGTTCCGGTCATCACCCACCGTCTTTCGGCACACAGCAAACGGGCCAGCTGCATCAAATCCGATGGAGTCTGGCCGCCAAGTTTGTGCCCTTCGTCAACAATTACTCGTACCCAGTGAACCGTCAAAAGAGATGACACCTCTCCGCGAAAGGTTCCGTCAGCATATCGTTGCGGGCCTTCAAAGCCGTAACGTTCAGGCATACGCTCCTCCAAAGCACAAGTTGGTCGGTGGAGTCTCCATTCCCGCGCCAATCTAGTGAACGACGTGATTACAGCATCATACTGAGCGAGATCCGTATTGAGAGGTAGCTGGCAGTCGACAACACGGTCAACAAATACACGCAAAGCGCCCGGCGCAACGTGAGTTTCGACTTGATACTTCCAGTGTTCCACCAGTGGATCTGGCACAACAAGCAGTGAAGTCCTGGAGCTTACCATATCCTTGACATTCACCGAACGACCACGAGACCTGGACGAACGCAGTCCTGGACGAGCGGTGTCGTCACCAGGACCATAAGTGTTGGCTAGCGTGCTATTTGTAGTTTGTCCCTTTGTTCGTAGGATCAGTGCCAGCATTGTAATAGTCTTACCAAGACCCGGTTCATCGCAGAACATACCTCCACAACCGTCACTTACCATCACGCGCGGATTCGTAGATGACTTTGTCGTCGACCAGGTCAATAGCCGAGTCAGTATCGAACTCAGACGACAGAATAAACGGGTGTGGCTGAGGACTGCACGTCAGTGACGGCGACTCGCGGTGCAGCATCCACTTCAAACTTCTCCGCTGGTGCTCGTACAGTACAAGGTTCAGACCAGGTACCACTTCGTACGCCATGTGCTGAAACAACGAGCACACGCAGCTCAGCAACGCAAGGTCTCGTGCGTTCATGAAACAAATGATGCGTTGCAGCACGTTTGCGGGCAAGTCAGTCAGGAACGTCTGCTTCTTATCGCGTGTCATTCGAACCACGTACGTGGCATCGTCACGGACCTCCATCTGATCCACGCCTATCTGACTCGTCAAGCTGTCAAACACATCCGGCAAATTGAGCCTTGGATTGGACTGAGTCATAGATGAAAGAGACTCCCAACGGTGCAATTTGCAGCCAACAACATGACACGAGCTCGTCTTGGCGTCTTCCAAAGCCGCAGCAACATCTTTTTCCCTCGTCTCCTGGTTGTGCGGCACAACTGACAGCATACTGGCTTGCAGATGACACAGCACAAAACCAAAGTCCTTGAGCGACGTGCCACACTCGGCATCGTAATGCACGCGCACGTGCAATCGAAGCGTCGCGACCGGTGACAAGCCAGCAGCACCTCGAGGCGCTACAACGTACGTGGCGTCCACGCGCACAACACGCCGCTCCATGAGCACCAGCAGCGACCACAGGAAGCGCACAAAGTTGCAGCGGCAGTTGCTGCCACTGTTTACGCACGCCACGTCCTTGCGCACGTTAGAGAACGGGAACACGAGCTGCAGCCAATCGTCTGCTGTGCGCTGGATCGATACGTATGCAGTCGTCGCTGCGACGCCGTCAGCAGAGCGACTGCACACCTCTTCGTACACGGGCATGAGCAGCTCGATCGTCCTGCCCGGACGCTCTGCAGCGCTGGACGTGGGGGCCGCCATGTCGGAAGGAGTCAAGGCGAGACCAGGTCGTGTCGCTTGAAACTGCGTGTGGAAATGATCCGTTTCGCTGTTATTACATTGCGATAAAACCAGCGAAATACGTTTTTACAAAAACGAGATGTTGCCGTGCGTGACGATTGTGACGCTTCACGTGGTTGTTGACGGACTCGAAGCATGCGATGGCGATTGTCCATCTGCTTTCTGCCGGCCGGTCGGTCGGTCGGTTCACCCCTGCTGCTAGCTTGGATGCGTGTGGGCTAAAACGCCGCCGTAAGTCCAGCCGCGATGCATAAATGATCGAAATGGATTTCATCGATCGATTTCGACGCTTTTAAATCGGCAGGACGTTGCTGCACGATAAGTGTGGTATCAGCAAGAGAGCTGCGACGACGGACCGAGGTATGGTGATGCCGGGAAGCTATAGCCTTCGTGATGTTGTGTAGTTTCCAGGAAGCTACAGCTAGATCCGACATGTTTACGTCGAGCACGACGATGCGACGTGGACGGGGCTGCCCTGCTTGTCAACAATAGCAGCATTAGTAACCGATGATGACACGTGGTAGTTCGAGAGCGGTGGATGATCGCTGATGGGCAGCAGCGAGGAGCCCCAATCCGCTCACATTTCAATCTGCCACCCAAGCCCCAAACGGCCGATCCAAACGTGAAAATCGCATGGCGAACGTGACTATATTCAAAGTGGGTATGACGTGCGAAGGCTGCTCCAGCGCCTGCACCCGTATTCTCAACAAGATCGAAGGTGCGTCCCCCGTAGCAGCAGATTCAGCGAAGTGTAGTGGTGTCGCACTGTGGGTCCTCACTTTTCTCATGTGGCAGGCGTGACGGACGTCAAGTGCGACATGGACAAGAAGGAGATCCATGTCGAGGGCGACGCCGATACTGACGAGATGCTGCAGGCGCTACTTAAGTGGTCGAAGGCCAGTGGCAAGAGTGTGGAGCTGCTATCGTAGGAAGCGCTTTTGCCCCTCTTCCTGTCTAGTTGTACCACGCGAGCTTTTGATCCCCCTCTCGTAGTCGTCAAGCACCGCAGCGATTGGGAGGTACTGAGTGAGAAGGAGAGGACTAAGCCAATTCCAAACATGCATGTGGTAACAGATGTCCCCTATGTTCCCATCTAGCTTGCTTCTGTTGAGCTGTACGCTACTTGCTCTTCGGACGTTCGAGCCGGCATTTTGTCGTGCCTCGCGTGTGATGCCGTCGCTACTTCCAGACAACCACGATAGATGCCAAGCTACCCTTCGTGCAATCACATCCTGCTACTTATCTCAAGGACTTATCTACCACAACTCGATCGCTTGGGCGACATTGGCAACTACGCACAAGATTCTGCCATTGGGCGCGGAGTTCAATGATGCATTGAGTCCGAGAGTTACAAAATCTTTGCTTCTGCTCTGGGGAGCGCTAATAATAGTCCGTCGAGACAAATACTGGAAAAGGGTCGCACGACTCAAAACATTTACGAAATCCGAGTTGTCACACGACCCAAATTATGTACCCAAATGCTCATCGACACACGATCCAAACCATGTACCCCAATGCTCTTGACGCATGACCCAGATCCTGTACAGTCTTCCCTCTGCTAAGTTATAGACTTGGTGGAAGGCAAATCCTATAACATAGCAGAGGTTATTTCATAGCAGAGGTATGCTACGGAAAAATTATTAATTTAATTAATTAAAGAATCAAAAACGCAACAAACCTCCAGGCTTCCAAAACCTGTCTGTCACGTGTCACGTGCCCTATGAATATTTTGTGATTTTGGTTGCCCCACCAGTCTCTGGTGATTTTGCTATCTCTAATTAAGAATTTCCACCAACTGTACCTTGCTCACTCACAACAGATGTCGCAGATACGTCTTACCAACGAGCAGAAGCTGCGCATCTGCAAGCACCAGGATGCTAACCCGCGCATCACCCAGACTGCCCTGGCGGCTTGGACAAAGGACGCCTTTGACCTCCAGAAGGCACTTTCCCAGGCAGCGATCAGCAAAATCATCAAAAAAAAGGAAGGAGCTTGAGGCAATGGACACCACTGACCTCAGCGCTAAGCGTCCTCGGACTGTCCAGCACCCAGCTGTGGAGGAGGCCGTCGCCTTCTGGGTCTTGCAGTGCCAGCACCGTGGGGTCGCTCTCACTGGAGATCTCATACGGGCCAAGGCTCAGAACTTTGCGGGATCAATGGGCGTCTCGGAGGAAAACATCAGCTTTTCGCATGGGTGGCTCCACAAATTCCAGCAACGCCACAAACTGCGAGCTGTCCGCATTCATGGCGAGAGTGGCTCAGCAGATATGGGCGCTCTAGAGGAGGCTCTTCCACACCTCAAGGCCGTGGTTGCTGGTTATGCGCCACGTGACGTGTACAACATGGACGAAACTGGTAGGTCTGAGAATACAGTACAGTACTGTACTCATTGTACAGTACAGACGCATCTCAAAGGCTCACTTTCTGTTCAGGTTTGTTCTACAGTATGACGCCCGACAAAACGATCGCCCAGCAAGAGGTCGAAGGGTTTAAAAAAGACAAGGTACATTATTGCTCTCCTCTTGGTTTCCTGCGTTTCTCTGACACTAACAACTATTCTAGACGCGCATCACAGTTGCTCTCACGGCAAACGCTGATGGATCCGACAAACTCCCGCCGGTCTTCATTGGACACGCCAAAAAGCCGCGGTGTTTTGAGCGCAAGACAGCTGAGCGACTGTGCTTTCTCTACCGCAACAACAAGAAAGCCTGGATGACTGGCATGCTCTTCCAGGAACGGCTGGGAGACGTCGACAAAAGTATGAAGGTAATTTGGGGCATGCCTTGAACATCATCGTTGTGGTACAGTAAAGGAGGTTTGACTAACGCGTTGACCACAGCAAAAGGATAAAAAAATCCTGCTTCTCATGGACAACGCTCCTTCACACATTGTTGCTGACCTGGAACTCACCAACATCACGGTCCAGGTTCTTCCTCCTAATACGACTTCAAAGGTCCAACCCATGGATGCTGGGATTATTGCCGCATTCAAGAGGCACTACCGCCGGCTGCATCTGCAGAATGCCTTGGACCGTGACGAGCGCGGAGAAACCAACCTTTACAAGGTTGATCAGCTCACGGCCATGCGTTGGTCGCTGGCTGCGTGGAGCGAGATTTCCAGTGCCACAATCGCCAACTGCTTCCGTCATACGGGACTCATGGTGTAACGGGGCACCCTGAAGCTTGTACTGGTGACAGTACAAGCTACTTATTCTGATAACAGAATAAGGCGGTGCCTCGTAACTTCACGTACACTCGTACGTGCAGAGGAAGACGGTAAGAAGAAGCGAGTACTTGGTTAGAGTAAAAAGTAGAACTGTATTTATAATAGTTAATGTCTGCAATAAATCACTATTTATCTTCATCTAACTATGTCTAAATACAAATGTGTAAATCAGTTATCTGCTCACCACTCATTGCGTGCGTCTGTCGTGGCGCGTCTTCGTTGGTTGATATAATGGCCTATATCAACCAATTAGGGACTACTTGGAAGTGCTACAGAATATTGTCCTTATGACAATATTCTGAGAATATAACTCTTATAGTTATATTCTATTAACAATTTCTTATAAATTGTTATGTAACGATTCACCCCGTTACACATGGACGGTCCGGCTCTGCCGACTGGTGGGGGTGAAAACGAAGCCGGCACTGTTGGCCAGCAGGCCCAGCAGGAGGCAGCAGCTGCTGCAGTAGAGGAGCAGCGCGTGGAACAGGATCTTGTTTCGGCGCTGGAAAGGCTCCCGCTCCGCAATCCCATGTCGATCGCTTCTCTTCTCAATCCGGCTGAGGAGGAGGAGACGGCGCATGCGGAGCTGACCGATGCCGAAATCATCAAGCTTGTCGAGGATCCGTATGGGGAGGAGGAAGGTGCTGCTGAGGCGGAGGAGGAGGTGGAAAAGCATTCGAAGACTGAAAAGCTTGCCAGCCTTAGTCTATCCATCGCCCTTCTCGACCTTTCTCAGGAGTCCCATCGTATAGCTCACCGGACCCTTCGCCAAGTCCAAGCTGATCTCCGTAGTGCGAGCACCACTCAGGCCACACTTGATTCCTGGCTGAAGTAGTTCCCTCTCCTCTTTCCACTCCTTTCTTGCAGTGAATAACAAAAAAAAGGTTCTGCGTACAATATTTCTGCTCACGGCGGACGAAAATATTCACTCTGATAAGTTGTATTTGGCCCTCAGGCTATTCCGTATAACTTATTCCGTAGACACCATAGAACGAGGTCGGTGGAGACCGAATCCTATAACTTACCGGAGATTATTCCATAGCCGGGGATAACTTAGCAGAGGGAAGACTGTACCCAACTCCTAGTTGACGCTTGCGCATGTCGCAAGGTTTACATGAGCAGTGCAATGGCTTTGACGAGTAGAACAAGACCTAGGATAGAAAGTGGCCTGATAGAGTCTACCGCAACCAGACGTGTGCTTTAGTGATTTCCGACGCTTGCAGTCCAATTCAAGCCAGTGGTCGCCCCTACCCTCTGAGTAGAGTAAGACCGCTGTCACTATGGTGGCGACCTTTTGTTCTGGGCTGTTACGTGGACAACGTGCACGTGGTAGGTAAACCGCAACCTTTTGCGGTCGCGGTACGTTACCAGCCGCGGGGAACTGCAGTCTGCCCAGGGCTACAGGAGACATTGGGATGCATCTCCTGGATACGTTCGTAGTGCTTTGCTGCGGCAACATCCAACTTCAAGAGAACAGTGGGAGCTCGGCTATCGCCAAGGATGTTCAGTAGTTAGTGCATGCAGACAAGCACCAGGGCTATTCAAGGTTGTCACGGGACAGCAAAGTGAAGGCCGTTCTGGCAAAGTGAACGCATACGCGATAGCAAGCGCGACTTTGGCGTCCGAAGCAGCAATGCTAAGGTTTTCGTATACGTGCAACGAAACCAGTGACGTTGCGACAGACGGAAGTGAGCTACGAAGGAAAGGTGCAATTCTTGGAAACCGGCATGAGGCGACTACAAGCTGTAGCAAAGCGAGAATCGCGACAACACGTAACAAATATGCTAGGCGCACGAGTAGTACTATGGCCAAAGCGAATTTGCCAGACAATCGTGAGTGCTGTCACTGAATGCGGTTGGCCTCGTGCAGCTCTCTGACTTGACCAAGGGACCGATGCTGCTAAGCAGGCTTCGGAAGTACCAGACGTCCTGCAACCACCCAACGTGAAATCAATACTTTTGCCTCACTGTAAAGAAACAACGAAGGCAGCCTGCAGCCTAACGTCGTATCGTCCACTCTTTGCGACTTGAGTGTGAATGCCATCACGCGTCTAATGCAGATACCAGCCGTTGTCGCTGAAGTTCAAACTCAAGTTGCAATGTGTCTGGATGCAGGAAGGAACGCGACAATAGTCGTGGTTCAAAGGGGGAAGATGTGCCACAATAGTCGTGAGGGTGTTCGTAGCTCAAATCTTGACCATCTGGCCTCACCACTATCGACAAGAGCATCCATTTCGATCGTCCGATGCAACTAGCAATTGTGCGGCCTTCTCTCGTGTATACTCGCACCAAGCTGGCACGACTATTGCCCACATTTCCCCATTACAGCGGTCACAGTACTTGCCAGGACTTAGTATCATCACGAAATCAATGCGAACGGTCACGTCTCATCCCTCCTCAGCTCGTACTTGTCGTAAACATCCTCAATCTCGATCTCGCTCTCTCTCGCCTCTCACAGGTCAAAACTCCCACCCACCTTGTCCGACAGTGTAATTCATCCCCAACCCGACTTAACAACACCTTTAGAACTCCTAGTCGTCAACTTGAGCTCCAGTGCGAAAGCTGCCTCACTTGAGCCACACAACGAGACCAGAAACGACCCAAGAAGCGTAGAGAAAAACGGGCGTTATCCACGCCAATGCGAGGAGCACTAGCAGCCGTTGCATGGTCGATCTTGACGTACGACGACCTGCCGCAGCGTGTGCACGATCTCGTGGGTAGTCTCTTCCTGGTTCTAATACTAATGGACAGATGGGACCTGCGGAAATGGCTGAGCGAAAAGCCTCGACGCTTTTTTGATCGATGCACGTGGATTGCAAGTGTCCTGTCGCTCTATATGATGTGCCACTCTGTGTGGATTACTATTGGCGGAGCAGCAGCTACAGCGCTCGTCGTGGCGTGTGCGAGTGACTTGTTGGCAACGTTGGTGCATCTGCTGGAGAAACAGCGGCTGAACTTCAATCAGACGAGCGGTACTCGAAGCATGAGGTGGCTGCAATATCTGCTGTTGTATGGCTGCTGGGGCTGCATGATCGTGGAGACAGGGACGACACTGCGTAACTATGTCACGGATGATATGAATAGTGATAGGAAACAAGAGACGCCGCGTCGGATGATTGATCAAGTAGTGGACGACTACTGGATCAGTGTGCTAGTTGGTGCGTCGCTCATTCTTGCTAATGAGCTCCTGCTTTTGTGCACTTTTCCTCGTCGAGTTAGCCCGCCTAATCTACAGGTAGAAGAAGTGGAAATGCCTACTGGATACTGGGTGAAGCTCATCCCGCTGGTCGGGATGCTGGTCTACGTTTTCGCCCAAGTTCATGCTGCGATCGGGTATGCCACTAACGTACCACCAACTTTACTAGCGCTCATGTTGGCCTTAGTTATTGTAGGCACTATCACGCTTACTTTTTTGACACCGTCAAGCCAGAAACCTCCTTGGACGGAGCTGCTTCGATGCGGACGAAAGTTGGCGGCTGAAATGTGCGTTGGCGGTGTCACGCTCATTGCACCCATGGTCTCTCATGGACCACCAGGAGTGATATTTTCCTGTGGTCTATCTGCTTTCTGCATCGCTTTTTCAAGGGAATGCTGGGACGATATTGAATCGAACGAAGGAAGTCAAGCAGGAGAAACGGGACTTACTGTAGCCGATTCGCCGCTGGCTGCTGGTACCTGTGATTCACCTTTGACGGATGATGTGGGGTGTTCTCAAGGTGTGCCACAGTCATGGTCTGCTCGTGCCCTGGGCGCCATCAAAGAACGATACCCTCGTTTTTATGAACGGGTAAAATGGACGTTCGCGGGTATCACGGTAGTGTCAACATTTGACCTATTCTCAACGTTTCTCGCCGTGACTAATAACAGCAAGACCGTGCTTTCTCTTTCGCAGTATTCAGCGATCAACGTCGTCGTTTCAGCGTCGGTGGGGTACCTGACCAGTCCAGCTCCGTACAAAGTGCATCCTGCTGTGTTAATCCATACAGGAGTGAAGCAATTGAAGAACAAGTGGGCCGTATTTCCACTCCACATGTTTGTTGAGACACTGATCTCCGCTGGAGTGTTCGTTGGCACATTTACTGCTTCGTCCACAGCGTTCAGCTCGCTCACGCTGGCCGCACTTTCAGGTATTGTGGTATCCGTCGGCGGCCACTCAGTATGCTCGCGCCTTCACTTGACGATTGGCACTCACGTGCGTATGCAGCTAACTGCTACGTGTGCGCTGCTCTTTTGTTCGTTTTTAATAACGTACGCTTCGATGGTGTCACTGCTGTCTATTTATCACTACTTTGATAGCATCGAGGCGGCATTTTGCCTTGCCTCGTTTGCTGGAATTTTCTTTTTGGCGGCAAGTGAGCTGTTTTTGATGTGGGGACCAACGCGCGATGTTGGGCTACTGCTTCAAGGCCGGGTCACGAATGCAAAGGAAAACTGGCAGCTGGAGCCACTGCGCTCGTTCTTGGAGCTTTTCACGTGGTTTGCAGTCATCTGGGGCTCATTTGCACTGTATAATGACCTTCTGTTAGCGCTTCAGCTCGGCACGTTCTCAGGCATCGCAGTCACTTTATCTGGTGAGTTTTTCCGGAAAACTCGCTCAAAGCTAATCCTGTGGGACCATGATCTGCTCACGGAGAGTGAGACAATCACGTCGTCAATGTCACCGCCTGCAATAGTGTGCAGTAACATTACCAGGCCAGGTGAAGCTCGTCCACTTCCTGTGATGCTCTTGTTCGCATACGTCGGCTCAGGCACATTCCAGTGGATCTTCGAGAATATGCGCAGTCTTGAAGTCACGGTTCTTCTTGCCACTATTGCAGGCATTTTTTTCTTGTGCTGTGCCGATATGCTGGTGCTGTTTGAGCCAACTCGTTGGGCAGGAGTGATCTTGCAGGATCGCTTTATCAACGTAAAACACAATTGGCGTGAGTACCCAGTGCGGTCTTTCGTCGAGCTTGGCTGCTTTGTCGGTGTCATTTACGGAAGCTATGCAATCTACCACGATCTGATCGTTGCGGTCCAAGTGGGCACCTTGTCCGGGATCGTGGTGACCCTTGGCGGAGAGCAAGTGCGAAGTTGTGCGCGGGCCCTTCCCATGAGTGGTAAGATACGTCGACAAACCATTTTACCCATTGTCATCTACTGATATCAATTATTTTTTGGCGTACAGAAGCTGGCGAAGGTGAAGTGGAAAAGGTGCAGATCCTTCCGCTCCCAGTTATGGGCCTGCTGGGCCTCATTGGGGCTGTCGCGTTCAACATTATTTACACGCATCTTCGCAGCATTGAGGTAGCGTTTGTCCTTGCCACCACGAGCGGGATCATTTTCGCCCTGGTTGGCGACATGTTCGTTATCTGGAAGCCCACGCGTAAGGTTGGCATGGTTATTCAGGAGCGCATATTGTACGTGAGGCAAAATTTCGCCACACACACGTGCCGTTCGTGGATGGAGGTAGTCTCGCTGTGCGGCGGCTGGTACATCTCCTACGACTTCTTGTGGCCAAGGGATATCCTTGTTGCCATTCAGTTTGGCACCACACTTGGAATCGTCACGTGTGTTTGTGGCGAGCTTACGATGGAGTTCGTTGCTGAAACCGAACGCCGCTTGATGGCGGATATCTCAGCCAGACTGGCACATGAGTAAGCAGGTTCTTATGTTGGGAGAAATGGCTGTTTAACGGAACATGTTGATTGACTGATCTCGTTTTGCTGATCGCGAATGACACCAGCTCACAGAGAAACAGCGTGTTTTTCAACCTGCCGTACGAGATTCAATTTAAAGTGGCATATTTTTTGGCAGCAGAGGATCTACTGATTGCACGCGCAACCTGCCACAAAGTCAATAACATGCTGAAAGCGGAATCTGCTCGCTTTTGGCTGCACGCGAGTCTGAGACGCACAGTTCGAGACCACTCTGATCCACGAGGATGCTCTCGATCTCACGGTATTTGCCATCGAATGGAAAACCGTGCCCGCTCACTTGTGTGCGAGGCCATCACGCTTTTGGTGCCCAAAATTATGGGAGCCAGGTAACGTGTCATAGGCAGATACCACCAGCCGAAGTCATTGTCGTGTGTACTGACACTGTACAATTGTGGTTGTTTGACTCAATAGAGACCCCGCTCAAGTCCTTACGTCCGGCAATGAAGTCAATCGTGCACTGAAGTGGGTGTACTTGAATGCCGACTGGATCCGGAGACAAAGCCTTCCACCTCTAGTGAAGGAAGGTGGTACCGAAGGCAATGCACTTATCACGTAAGTTTTGTGTATGGTCTTGTTATATGAATGGATTCGTTGCCTATGAGTTGGGTTTGTTGTGTGCAGGTTAAGTGTAGGTGATGTTGCATTTGACGTATTCCGCCACATGCCCGACAAGGTACTGATGATTTGCGATGAAAATGTCACTGCTTACACTCATTTGTTATGACTGCGTTCTTCCGGGCATTTTTAGAGCTCGTTGGGGGTTATCGTAACGCGCGATGATGATTTTGCTATCGAATGCATTGAAGTGCCTAGGGGAGTCTATGACACGATCCAGAGAGATCCGTTCAGCTTTGTAGCTGCGGAGACCCTCTCGGGCCTAAACGTGTTTTCGAATTGGCACCTCACGGTCGTAGCCTTCGCTACGATGACACTTATTTTCATCGGACAATTTCTCAGTGACCTGTTTCGCGCGTACATCCTTCCCGTTTCTCCTACGTGATGAAGAGTGCGATAAACGTTATCGGGCGACGTGTATTTACACAGAAATCAAGTGGCACATTGACACAATTTACAAAATGTCGCCAATGCCAATCACGTGGCCAGGCTACTGTTTCTAGCTCATGGGCGTCCGTCCGTCAGAGCTCTACAAATGAACCTAGGATTAATTGACCACTTTCGCTTTTAAACCCGCTGGTATAACATCTCACAGATCCCGCAGCATTATAAAGTATGCAGGGTCAAGCAGGCTAGTTCACATGCCCTCCGGCATATCTCCTGACGGGGCAATAAGCCGAAAAGTCTCATCGTATCCACGTATCTCGGAATTTGTGATACTCGAGATCTACACTCTCTACTTCGTAGACCCTGGTGTTTGCTTCGGTCATCTAGTTGCCGCTTGATTGTCGTTAGAAAAACGAGCGAAGAGACATAATAAGATGCTGAAGATGAGAAGGCTACCGATGTGGTTCTTCAGAGCATTCTTCGGCACTTTAGCAAGCTTGTAGACCTCACACTACCTTTCTGGTATCACGACTGATGAAATAACTCTTCTGAGATCGTCATTTGGAGTTAGCTACTCTTGCGATGACTTTTCTTCTACCACAAAAACATCATGGGCGTCGCCATCGCTGCTACTGCTGATGGAGAATAGATGACGATAAATACTACCGTCTATCATTGCAGTAGTTGGTTGGAAACGTCTCGTCAAGTTGTATACGGCCCTTCAGGAGGAGATTCGATGAGACCTGGAACTCGGAGAGTGTGGATAAAACGGACGACAACAACAACTAACCAAAATAGAGCTGCTGGTGATTAAAAGATCCTATTATTTATAATGACAGCTGAGCTGGAGCGGTACAGATAGTTCTACTATTTAAAATAGGCTCCATATCTTTCAGTGGCAATGATCTTTTCGTCAGTAGGAATGAAAGACTCCGTGTCCCTAAACAAGACGGAGATAGTGAACTCACTCATTTCTTGATAAGGATCAGTGTGTGTCAGCGCCAGGAGAAAGCAAAATGACATCTTTGTCACCACGGAAAGCTAATCATTGTAAGGTACAAATATTTATACCTTCAATTGAATCCCTAGCTTGTACGTACATATTTAGCTAATCACGTTTTTCTCCTGCTTCATTTGTGAGTACAAGTAACAGTATCTGGATTCTTATATTGACATTTATAGGTACAATTTTTTGTAACACGATCCTCATGATGCCACTTGTAGGTACAAATGGATTTGTGCAGGGTTCCTCCCTTGTAACTTGTACCTAAAATACACTTACACATGGTTTTCTAGCTAGTATTTGTTTGTACAACTACAAATGCATTTAGCTTGTCCAATGTATGCAGTAGGTACAAGATTCAAATTTACACAAAAGACGCGATTCAATGACATTCCCCCGCACAACTCCAAATCTGATCGAGCGCGCGGCTTGTTTGTTGTAATTAGTGTGCGCACTGTGATCTGTAATAACAAGCCGCGATGACGCTAGGTCGCCTACACAAGCGTAGTCTCTGTGTAGGTACGATACCCTAGGTACTTAAGCATCTCTGGGTCTCGAGGGTACAATACCACAGATTTTAATTTCACGGTGACACACACGTGGCTTTCAGAATGGTGATCGGTCCGCTAGCCTAGCTTGAGGGGGTCTTGCGGAGTTAAAGAAAAAATTAGAATGAATTATATACTACGTTACTTAACCTTGCCTTAACGATTGCTTCATATTGCTCTATCAATCCATCAATCCATCAAGCAGATTGTTCCCGGCTAAGCGTAGAGGAGTCGAGCCGTTGAGTAGGATCCATTTAACCTCAATCAATCATATGTCAATCAATCATATGTTATACTCCCCCCATAAAGCATTGCATACTAGCACGGGAAAATGCGACGAATTGATAGCGTCTGTGTCGTCGCTCCTTTGTCGATCGAGACAGTGCCATTTTCATGCACAGTGCTGATAAGGTAGAGCCCATCTGACACTTCCTTGGTCTTTGCACGAAATTGCTTCGGTTTTCGGATCATTACGTGATCACCGGGATGGTAGAAGTGCACGAGTCGTTTGGCATTCTCGCGTGTGTTGTCAGCTAGTATAGCTTTAAATCGCCGTTTCGACAGGTAATTCCAATTAGCCTCGTGCAGTTGTCGCGAAATCATGTCTTGACCAAAAGTGAGTTGTCCCGGAGATGCATTGAGTATGCTTTGGTAGCTTGCACACACGGCAAAAGCGGCGTCACAAATAACCTTTTTAATCCGCGCCTGTAGCAACGGATGACGTTAAATAACTCCAAATGCACACTCTCACAGATATCATTAGCTTGAGGGTTCTTGGCTATGATCGACATTGATTGCAAACTGTAATTGCGAAATAATTACTGGAATTTTCTCCCTTAAACTTCAACCATTGGTCATGGACAACTTGTTTTGGACGTGGGTAGCGACAAAGCCACTCGCAATCAAAAACTTTCAGCTGTCGTCAGCGATTCTTTAATTGGCTGTACAGCAACTTTAAGCCACCTAGTCGTTTGATCAATCATTCTAATCCTGTAGTAGCCGCCGTAGTATGGTCTGATGAGATCAACGTGGACAATATCGAGCGGGTTGACCGTTCCTTTCGTACGTGTAGGCAGACGTCCGTAATCTTGTTTGCCTCTGTGCAACTTAGCGCGCTTGCACGTGATGCATTGGCAAACGTATTTGGCGATACTTGTGTCCATGTGCGGCCAATAAAGGTGTTTTGCATATTTTTGTGTTGCCGATGACTTGCCGGATGTCCAAAGTTCATGTTGTACCATGCGATCAGGTCATCACAAGGACTATCAGGGACGATTAATCGGTTTAAAATATAACCATAGTACATCCCAAGAAAATCTTGACCGGATAGCCAGGGTTGTTGATTCTGCAAGAGATGCTGCTTTGATTGATGCGATCATTTCATAGTTTCCTTGGTGCTGGCAGACAATGGGACCGTGCATTATCACTCCGATGTCGTATTTTTTTTTGAGCGCGTAGAATTTGTCGTTAAGCGAAGGGCCTTCATTCTTCTCAAATCTCAAGCGGTAGAAGGCATCTGCTCCAATATTTTTGTCACCTTTAAGATAGGTCATCGTCAGGCAATGATCAGAGAGGAGTAATTTCCAATGCTTCGCTCGAAGACTTGTTTCATTGAGGAAGATTAGATTTTTGTGGTCAGTATGGATCACAACTGAAAATTCAAGAAGGATCGTTCGGTATTTGCATAAAAGCTCAACGATCGAAAGCAGCTCCATCTCCATGGTTGTATAGTTGATCTGGTGCTTGGTAAGACTGAGCGAGTAACATGCCAGGATCTTAGTGCCTTGCATGATAAGTCCACATATTTGGGTCCTCTAGCATCAGCGTAGACATAATTAGGATTCTTATAGTTAGAAAACACTAACAGGAAGGCCTCTGCAAATGCACGTTTGATGTTTTAAAAGGCCGTCGTATCGCTGGGTATCGATATATGGGTACCTTGGCGCTTGTGAATCGATATAGTGGCTTGTACACGGCTTTCTTGTTCTTAAAAAATCTCGGTAGTAGTTGATCATGCCTGGAGAGCGTCGAAGCTCTTTCCAGTTGCGTGGTACTGCGATCTTCAAAATGGCCTGTTTTTTCTTTTTGCGGCTTAATTCCAGCGGTCGATAGCGTAAATCCAAGGTAATCCACCTCCTTGCACCAGACATGGCACTTTCTTCCGTTTAACGACACGCCATAGGCCTGCAGGCGCTCGAAGAGAATGCGCAAATGCGCGAGATGAACTTCTTCTGTACCGTAAAATACTAGAAGTTCGTCCAGGTATACCACGATGAACGGCAGGTCACCGAAGATACGATCCATACACGCTTATTATTCGTCAGGTGCTGTTGATATACCCATAGGTAAATACCTTATTGGAATTTGCCAAAGGGTAATCAAAAAGATGTAAGTGAGCGGCTTTTTCGTGCTATTATCCGGGCATAGTATTCGTGGTTTGCATCAAATGTTGAAAGACACCTTGGGTTTGACAAGCGTATAAGAATTTATCGAATGCGTGGCAATTAGCATAATCTTCTTTTAGAGACTTGCTTAGTTCACGATATTAGTTTTAAAGACGTAGTGAATTATCAGGCTTGGTGACGAAAAATGCGGGTGGGGCTATTTCCGCATCATTAATTTGTTTCAGCACGTCAGCACTGAGAAGCCGCTGAATGGTCTCCTTGGATTTGCTTTCTTAACGGTGCGCAATAGCGTAGGCCTTCGCATTAATTGGCCTGTAAGTCAGTCGAATTGGCAGCCCATAGTCGGGAAAACGCATTTTTCTGAGGTGTCCGTTGTAAAGCGTTTTGTACTCGACTACTAACGCTAAGCATCTTTGGAGCAAAGCATCTTTAGAGGCAAGGTGATCAGGCAAGGACGCCTTTGGCTGTACTGCCGTTGTAGGTGCATCCTTTACTTCGTCGTAAATTTTTTTTGATCCGTCAGGAGTCATCTCTCCGTTTCTTTCCCTGTGTTATAACAAAGCAAACATTCGTGCTATCGTACCACTCAGACTTTAAAATTCAAAATCAGTCCTAGCGCGTTCATGACATCTCTTCCGATGACCATTTTTTCGCTGCTGGCCTTGATCACTTCGACTTGGTGTGTGATGATCGAGTCTGGCTTAAGTTATGGGAAAATGAAATGTTTTACCACAGTTCCATTGCTTGTTATTGTGCCTCGAATGTTGAATACAGTTGAAAAGCTGTATCATCATGTCGACCCAGTTGCACAATACTGGTCAGTGTCGCACAATTAACGATGCGTTTTGATGCTCCACTGTCGAGCAGGGCTCTAATCGAATCGCGAGTGCGATGAAGTTTAATCTCATTGCTCAACGGTGCACTTGTGACAGGCTTGTCCTTTTCCACCAAACCACTGAACTTGAGCTCTTTTGTATCCTCTTCTGCGTCCGACTCTGACTCCGATTTAAAGTCAAGCTTATCTCTTCGTGATAAACGTGGATATTTTGGTTTTGCTTTGCGATTGGTGGGCAACCGAGCTTCGTTTTTCTTGGTCTCACCCTCCCGATATTTCTTTAGTGTGTAGCAGTCGCTCGTATTGTGCGAAGCTTTCTTGTGGAAAGAACACCAAGTGTCTCACTTGTGATGGGTGTCTCTTCGACCATGCACCTTTTCCTCGGTCTTTTCCCGCCAGCTCTTCTGTCCCTGTCTTTGACCGTTTACTCTGCACTTATTCTTTTTTGCGCATTGATGTTCTCTTGATAGGTTGATATCTTGTCGAGGGTACTCAAATGTCGCTCGTCTTTCTCGATCCGTGTGAAATAGAGCACCATTTAATCTAGGCAGTCAAACACAACACCTGCTGCAGCCAACTTATCTTGCCACGCGTGGGGCAAGCCGCTTTTGAAGAATCGACATTGCTGGATAGTAGCAATTCCTTCAGCGTTCTGTGACAATTCAGCAAACAACGAAATGTTTTCTTTGCTGTACAAATTTGAGAACAGTCTCATCTCTTCATTTACTCATCGTCCACAGCTCGTTGTCTAGGCCTTCACAGAAGCCGTGCGCGACGAAAAATTAATCTTACTTCAGTGAAAACTGCTCAAAGTCCTGTCCAAGCGAAATGTGTCACAAGATATCTCATCACCTTCCGTCAAGAGGTCTCCATCAATATGGGCGACAATGTTGTGTGCCTAATGCTCATACGTCCACTGCTTCTTCCGAGCAAGACTGCGTAAATTAGTTGCTCCAGCGAAGCCACTCCCGTGGGGATCCTCCTGTGAACTTCTTGATCTTGATCATCGCCGTCTCTGCGGGGAGTTCGGCACTTGCTGGTGTAATTACCATGATGTAGGTGACGCATTTATCTTCAGCTTGGCGTCCCATGCTGTAAACACCTTGATCTTTACACGTTTTTGCTCATATTTAAAAATGTTACGATGACACATCCGCTGTTGCAGAGGGGTGATTGGTCCACTAGCCTTGTTTAAGAGGGTCTTGCGGAGTTAAAGAAAAATTAAGATGAATTATTATACTACGTTATGTTACCGTGCCTTAACGAATGCTTCATATTGCTCTATCATTCCTTTAATCCATTTAGTAGTTTGTTCTCAGCTAAGCGTAGAGGAGCCGTTGAGTAGGATCCATCTAACATCAATCAATTACATATCAATCAATTACATGTTAACAGATTGCATCAGCTCGTGGTCCAGTGGGGTGTCAACCGAATCCAACGAGGTAGTAAAGCACATAGTTCTTTTGTGTGAAGTAAGTCTCGAATCAACATTGTTACCCGCAACCACGTCCTCTTTCTCAACTACCTACTAGACGCACGCATAGTGTGTCTGAAGGCGTAGTTGGACAATGAAGGACCCTGCTCCGACCGAATTTGGATCTCGTTGCAATCCTTCATAGATAAATAGGAGGTAACAGCACTCTGGGAGCCATTAGAGGTTCATCACCTGCAACGAAGGCGGAAGTGTACCAATACATCGATTAACGCATTATACCAGATTAATAGTGTGAATAGCTAGGTAGCTTTGAATACGTTCACTTGTGATATTTCTTGTTGAGCTTTATGATCATCTATAAAGGCTTGGATTTGCAACTGTCTTTACCAAATTAATTACTTAACTTCTTGGAATTTCGTGCTTACGAAATAGGCTACATTGCGACGAAAACTTTCTATGTCTGCGCGCGCCCGTTGACAGACATGCCATACTACACGCTACTACGTGGACATTTTACAATGATGTTCATTCTGTACTATCTGTTAAAACAGAAATGTGGACATGTAGTATTTCGGTGCGCATATAAGGCAAGCCGATTAGTGCACAAGCCACCACATTCTTGAGCAGAGAGAGATAAGAAAGATGCGTTTAAGTGGCTAGCTGCAGAGCTGTAATATGAGCGGCAGCCTAGAGATAGCAGATAGCTAGTGCATTAGTAGCAACAGAAGCGCAGTTTCAGTACAGAAGATATACAATCTTCCAACACTCAAGCGCAAGCCTTTAAATTGTATCCTCTAGATATCTTAACAAAGACTCAACCTGCCATCATCAAGTTAGGGGTACCACGACTTGGTAGCACAACTTCCCTTACCACTAACCCCACCTACCCTGAAACGGGGCACCCTTTGTTTGGGGTGCCGCGAAACTTCACGTACACTAGTACGTGCAGAGGAAGCTAATCTACTTAAGCGACTCGGTCAAGTAAGGGTAAAAAGAGAACTGTTTTTGATATAGTTAAGCTATCAATATAACTTTAATCTTTATCTAACGATGTTAAACTATGTCGTCTTATGACGACCACCTGCTCACCACTCATTGCGCGCGTCTAGCAGCGATTGATGGCAATCTATGGTTGGTATGTCTTATATCAACCAATCTTGGAGCGGCGCATGAATATTATCTAAAGGGGATAGTATTCCTTCAATATTATCCATCTTGGATAATATTGGTAAAATATTGTCATGCTAGACAATATTCCTATTGACACTGTTTGGTGTCGATATCATGTAACGGAATACCCCGTACGCCCACCTCAACTAGAATAGATGGGCCTTTGTGTTTACTCACAAAGATAAACATGCATTATTAGGGCCAGGGTTATCCCGGAGAACGTGCTGACAAGTCTCGACGCGAAGAGACGCGAATTCGAAATAATTTGACCCCTACGCTCAAATATGGGGAAATGACCGTTTGCTGCAATGTATGGACCGTTATCGGTACAGAAGACACAAGTACGATGGGAACTGATAGAATTACGAGGACACAAACGCACAACCGGAACACCGGAAATTTAAATTTATGGAAAAAGTTATCCATAAACCAGCAGAAGAGGTCTGTAAACGTAGTTCTTCTTATCAGCTGGTAGAGTCAGTATGTACTCCAGAACAGAATTATGCAACGCCTTCATAATGTAAGTCATCCATTCCATTACAGTTGGCTTAGATGAGAGAAAATAAATTTACTGTGAAACCAAAGGAAACTGTTAATTTAGGATCAGTAAAAAACGCTTACGTCTTCATGTGCAGCCCTCTGAATGTACATCTAAAAACATCTTCATGAGAGAGAATTAGAGATAGAACGTCGAATTATTGGATACAGTATGGACGCTATGTTGGTTGCACAGCCGCTGAGCGCTTCTGGTTATCAGATGTGGCAGGTAGTTTGTGGTTTCGTTCAAGAATTGACGAAAGCTCGTTCACGCTTGCACATCCCTGTCAAGCGACAGTTAAACAACAGAAAATAAAGCATGGAATACAAACTCGATACAACGTCCGTATGGATTTATAAAGTGTGGGTCGCAAGATATGCTATTGGTAGTACCGCTCATCATCGATCGGAGTACTTTAACTGATAGGGCTGTACTAAGTACGACATACATTGTGACCAACTGACGTGTAATTTAAAAATTGGTTTGGTATGCTAAGATTACTATGGCAAGCAAATAAAGCTTCATACACTCGTCCCTCTCGATAAAAGACAGCTTTGTGCTCAAATTACAGCGGGTCTTGTAGGAAATCTATCACAGAGAAGATAAAGGAAAAATATAAATTTATTACGACTGAACCAATCACTATTGGGGCAAATAAATAAAACTACCGAACGTGTCCTTATTTGTCATGAAATATAACGCTTGTTCACTATACGAATTCTGTCATGTCGAGCTGTTTCGATCTAGCGTGCTGGTTCTTCTGAACAATCAACGTCATATTATCGAGATCTGAATGCATAGTATGCGTATCTTCATCTAAGCGTACGAAGTACAAACGAAAAAGCAGGCAGCGCTTATGTGCTTTCTTTGTACTGACAGGCGCTTGATCTTCATCGCTTCCGACTTCCTCAGGATCCGCTTCTGCTTCGATCATAGCGTCTTGTTCCAAGTGAATCTGCTAATGGTCCAGAATTATTAACGCTAGCCCTTTTTTAAGAATTTGAATCGTAGCAGCCAGATCGTGTCAGTCTTGTCGAAGGTAAGACTGGACTTTCGATAATTAGTTTTGCTCGCAACACCGCAAACTGTAACGCTTCGACGATCTCACTCTTGATTCCGCAACTTTGACTGATCGCCCACGAATAATGTCCCAGCTCTCAGCTGCAAACTCAATGGATTGCAAGACATTCAGTCTATGTTACATGTTTGCTTCAATCTGATTCATGCTCCGCCGCATGTAATGTTTTTTAATCAAGCGTTGAACTATCGTATAATGCATATACATCACATTTGTAGATGAGAAGATTAGTGTAGATTAAGATGCTTAATTTTAAGTTGGGATATAAATGCGTCCCTGCATCAAGCGGCTGGATGATTGCAGTCACGTAAGGTGAGAAATAACCGCATTGGCCCTGTTAAAATTTCGTCGACCTTTGGATCAAACCTCTATCAAGAAAAAATTAGGACTGTGTGACCGTGCATACTAAAAGCATATTGATATAGCCACTTATCAAAGAAATTATCCAGTCATACAGACGTTTGAGTTTGCAGAGTACATGATGCCACACTTCTCGACCTATAAACTCTAAAAGCGTAGGTTTCTTATTTTTTCTATGAATGTGGATAGCTTTTCAGATCCATTTGCGTTGCAGCACAACGCAATTTTTACCCGTGCTTTGCGAAATCATGCTGTTGTTCACAAGTGCGAAAATGGCTTTGTTCGGTGGTAAGTCGCTAGATCATGCTGTCTCAAAAATAATAAACAGACCACTCGACGGATATTACTCAGTCACAAGAATTTAAACCCAGACTTTGCTGCTTGCGCTTTCTTAGTACACAAGCTCCCTCTTTCGCCAAATTACTCGCGGCTTTGATATTGTTCTTCTTCTTGAAACTCTGGTCCAGCATTGGAAAGCTTGATATCGTGATCTTTTCTAACGTGGCTCACTTTAAGTTATTCTGCTATACGGGAAACTATCTATAAAAAGCCCTACACTCTCGCGCTCGGGAACGAATTTCAGCATCATTTTTCTCGAGATTATAACACTTCACGTGCCGTTTCTTTTTCGCACAAAGGTAGGACCCCTCAGAGTCTAATTCTTGAATGAACATGAGCCGGTGGGCCGATAATTTTTGCATGTTGTGCTGTAACTGATTGCTTCCATTCGTCTGCACTTCGTATGAAAAATATTAGGGCGTTCTTTGAAGTGTGAAGAGACTTAGTCCTTTTTTGTTTTGACGAAGATACTCGCTAAATTGAGCTCTTTTATATGCGCGGGCTTGAGGTCAATCAGAGATAAGTTTTATAGTGTGGGTTTGTTAGATTAGTGGTGTAGTGGGGTATTTACAAAACTGAAACATTTCATTCTCCCTATCTGTTACCTATTGACGATGCTATTTGCTCTTACATATTTGTCGTTTGACGAAATCATCAAATGTGCTTTACAAGCCCGCCTAATACAACAAAATCCACGCCTTTCCCTAAGGTCACGTCCGAGTTCCTATTATGTTGCTTAATCAGCTCAAGGTATTGGCAAAACTTGGGCTTAAACATTCTTCACATCACATGCCACGTGTGCCTTTTAAGCAGCAAAATTAAAAGTTTTGAGTCACTTAAAGAGGGGTTTGACTCATATTAGCGAGTGTGTTTCGTGTAATATATACTACTCGTATTATAAAATATAGTGGTGTACAAATTTCATAATAATTTAAATAGTTCGGCGACACTGTGACTCTTAAATAATGGATATAATTAAAAAAATCTATATTATAGAGAGGGATGAGTGTAAAGGGTAATTATGACAAGGGTTTTACCAGCGCCGCAAGGTTTCTCGGAAAAGTTTCAGCTTGTAAGCTTGCTGACGCCATATTCTACCCTGATTTCTCAATACGGGTCTACTATTGGAGGA